AACCCTAACCCTAACCCTAACCCTAACCCTAACCCTAACCCTAACCCTAACCCTAACCCTAACCCTAACCCTAACCCTAACCCTAACCCTAACCCAGTGATGCCTACTAATTTGTCTGCTCTCACAGTCTGCCTCTGTTGCCATTGCTTGTGCCTGCCATTTGCGCACAGTGGCTTAGGCAAGGCAATGCCAAGTTGCAGGAGGGTTGGCCAATGCTTCTGCCTGAATGCTCCTCTCTACCGCGTGCTCTTCACCATTGTCTGGGCGTGTCTCCTCCGGAGCGTGGGCTCTGCAGAACACATTCAGCTTGTGTTTTGTCATCACGAGCAGACCCCTGGCCGCGTCAAGCGCGCTTCCAGTCAAGCCGAACACACTTCCAACCGCACCCACAACGCCCACGTCGACCACGGCGTTGCCGGCGCCGCGCCGCTTGTCACGCATTGCGCCCCCTGCGGGGTCCCAAATCTATGCCTCATCCTTGTCCACAGCTGTGCGACGCTGCAACGCGGTGGCCAAAGTGCGATTACTCTGAGCCGGAGTGCGCTAGCGATATGACCAGGCCTCCTCATCGTAGTCCTGCACGAGTTGCGCATCATTCTGCGGCGCAGCGTCAGCGACCTGCGAGCAGCCTGAAGAGCGCGGACAGCCCCACGGCTGCGCCGGCGAAAAGCAGACAGCCTCGTCCGGCATGCAGCACTACTGCAGCCTCGCAATGGTCATCCGTCCCGCCCGCCGCGGCCTCGCCCCACCCGCTCCTCTCACCGCCGCGCTCCGCCTGCGCCACGCACCTTGTGCAGCTTGCCAAACTCGCTGAAGCCGTTGCGCAGAATGCACACCTCCTGCCCGCCGACGGCGTGCTGCGCGCCCTGCTCGCTGCCGATGCGCTGCGCCGCCGGCAGCTCGTCGACGCGCTGCTGCTTGAGCGCCAGCGAGCGCGCAGCGACATACGCCCGTGCCGCCGCCGGCCCGCGCTGCTGCGAGAGCGAACAGTGAAAGACGACAGTCGGCTCTGCGCAGACACGTCAGCACGGCACTGGGTGGTGCGCCGCGCGCAGAGGTGCGCCTCGCCCCCAGGAGCGCGCCTCGGCCACAGGAGTGCGGCGCCTCCACTGCGCCGGAGTGCCAGCCCCTGACGCCAGGAGCCGCCGCTGCCCAGGCCCGCTTCCACCAGCCACTCACGCTGCGCCAGACTCTGCACCAGCCCTTCGACGCGCTCGTGGAACTCCTCGCTGGGCACGTTGCGCGCGCCGACAATGTGCCCGCCGGCGAAGTCTGCGTCGCGCACGTCGACGATGGCGGGGCGCGCGCCCGAGCCGCTGGCGGCGGCGTCCTTGAGGCGTGCGGCAAGCGCGTCGCCGGAGATGTAGGGCACGGCCATGCTGCTGCAGCGGCTGCTGCTGCTGGTGCGGAAGAGGCGCGCGAGAGAGGCGAGCATGGACGCGGGACGGCAAGGCGCAAGGCTCGCCGGCGCTGCCAGGGCACGGCGGCGCCGCGTGTGTGGCTGTGCGTCGCTGTCGCGTGGAGGCGCGCCGCGCCGCCGCCGCCGCCTCGGCCTCCGGCTCGCCGCTCGCGCACGACAGCGAGGCGGCCACAGGCTGCCGCTCCTCCAAGCGCAACAGCATGCTCGTCAGAACTGCCCTTGGAATGCTACTTCATGCACTCTCGCTGCAGCAACTGAGCAGCGGCAGCGCCCACGGGTGCACGGTCGGCGCGGCTCTTGGGCGCCCTGTCACCGCGCCGCACAGGGGCAACGCCGCGCGTCGGCGCAGATTCGGGCACCTGCCCCTCCGCAGCGACATTTCCCTCCTGCCGCCGCCGAAGTTCGGGCTCCGAGTCGATCGGCTTCTCGCAATTAGTATGTGATCCTGCGCCGCAGCCATACGAGTCCGCGAGAAGCGGCGCAGTGGGCTGGCGCGGCGATGGCTGCTGTGGGCGCAGCGCGGCTCAAGACGCCCGCCGTCGAGCCGCGCACTTTGCCCCCTGACACGGCGCGCGCAGGCGCAGCGGCTGCTCAGGGGTGCAAGGCGGCACTCCCACTGGCTCTGCTTCGATGCTCCGCCGAGAGCGCCTCTGCCGCCGTATTTGGGGCACGACGTGGGCCGCTCTTCCTTCCCACCACCACCATCCATCCGCCACCTTCTTCTTCGTTCGTCAGCGCGTCCGCCGACGTGCCCAGTTCGCTTGTCCTTCGTCGTTGCTGGGCTGGTCCCAGTCTTGTCTTCTTCGCATCCTCTTCATCCTTCGTTGCCCTTCTCGCCGCCATGTCGACGCCGCCGCGCTCGCCGCTTCTCTTCGCCTCGGCGCGCCGCCGCCCCGCGCCGTCGGCACTCAACCTCAAGCCGGCGCTGACGAAGCGTGTGTCGCGCAACTTTGTCAAGCACGCGGCGCCGCTGCCGCTCGATGCTCGCGCGGTGTACTGCGCGCCGAGCCGCGAGGCAGCGCCCGTGCTGCGCGGCAGCGACGACGTGCGCCCGCACGCCGAGCACTTTGCCTACACCACGTCGCTCTCGCGTCGCGTGTCTACTTCCGACTTCACCGCAGCACTGCCGACGCCGCCGCTGCCCCGCCGTGGCTCGGCGCCCGAGACACTCGGCCGGGGCATGCCGGACGTGGCGCATGCTGGCCGTGCCCTGCCGGACGTGGCAGTCGTCACCACGCCTGAGGTGGTCGACGCCGAGGAGGAGGTGCAGGAGCTCATCGTGCCCTCGCCGGCGCCGCGCGACGTGCCCGTGTCCGTCGCCGAGTCGGCCGTCGCCTCGCCTGCGCCGACGCCCGCCGCACAGAGCCTCGGCGGTGCCTCGCTGCTCGCCGCGCGTGCCATCTCGACGCGCCCCAAGAAGGCCCGCGCCTTCACGCTCACGCCCGTGCCGTACCAGCTCGGCTTCAGCCCCTCGGCGCCCAACTTCTCGCCGCGCGCGCTGCTCTTCAACAAGCTCGCCGGCGCACCGCCGCGCAGCCCCGTCGTGCCCCGCCCTCTCACGCCCCTCTCGTCCAACGGCACGCCGGGCTGGCTCGCCGACGTCGAGGCGTACCTCGCCGCCTCGCCGCCGATCTGGCCGACGCGCTCGCCGGTGCGCAGTGCCAAGGGACGGCGCGCCCTGACGCCGCGCCGTGGCAACGCCGCCACACCCACCTCGGCGTGCTCCGTCTATTCGGTCGGCTCCGTGTACTCGGCGGCGTCGGCGTACTCGCGCGCCTCCGGCACCTCGCTCATGTCGATGCTCTCGCCGCGCTCGGCACGCTCGCCGCTGGCGTCGCCGGCACTCCAGGCAAGCCGCTCGCCGCACTCGTTCCGCAAGGCGATGCTCTCGTACCGCCTCGGCAACGCCGGCCTCGCGACGCCGGCCTCGCCGCTGGCGCGCCGCATGCCGTCGCCCGTGCTGTCCGAGGAGGCCGCCGACGAGGAGCCGGCCTTTGATCCGCTCGAGACGCGCGGCGCACCGGCGGCGCCCGCCGCACCCATCCCGGCACGACCTGCGTCGCCCAGCATGCCGCGCTCCAAGCTCGCCCACATGCGCCAGGCGAGCGTCTCGTCCGTCGCCTCGTCCGCCTCGGCCAAGTCGTCGGTCGCCTCGCGCAACAACTCCGTCTCGGGCGCCTCAGCCGCATCGTCGCGCACCAGCGTCTCGTCGCAGGGCTCCGACGCACCGCCAGTGCCCAAGGCGAAGCGCCAGACGCTGAGCGAGCGCTTCGCAGCCAAGTTTGCGCGCCTGGCGCCGAGCCGCCGCAGCAGCGATGCGTCGGCGTCGTCGTCCGAGGACGAGGCCGTGGCCGCCATTCCGCCGGCACACGGCACGCCCACGACGGCCGTGCCGGCAGCGCGCTTCGTGCGGCGCCACGTCCCCGCGCCGCTGACCTTTGCCTTCTCGGCGCTGGCGGACGCGGAGCGCGTGCCGCTGTCGGCGTCGCCCATGACGCCGGCGCTGACGCCGTCGCCGCCCGGCTGCGGCAGCGCGGCGAGCAGCTTCGAGCGTGTGGCGCTGGCGAGCCTGCCGCAGCGCCCGCCGCCGGCGGCGCTGGGCGCGCAGCGGCGCCTGCTGATGGGCGTCGAGCGCATGCGAGCCGGCGCCGTGCCCGTGTGAGGGCCACCTGCCATCACGCCCACCACAGCTGTCCCACTCCTCCCCCAACACGCCTCTTGTTAATCCCTGGCGCGCCGGTGCCGGCCACCGCGACGCCTCGCCATTGCCACTCCTTCTCTCTGTGCTGTCTGCGGCGGCGCGACGCGGCGCAGGGTCCTGTTGGCGCGGCTGTCATGCGTCTTGGCGCCGGCGGGAGATCGCCGCACGCCGTGGGAAGCGCCGTGCGTGTGCGTCTTGATCGCCCACCGACGCCGAGGCAGAGCTGCCTGCCGGCCATGGGTGCTTGTCGCATCTCGCATATCGAGGCGAGCTGATGATGTGCGGCGCCGGCGCCGCTTCGTCGGGTCGCGCGGCCGGCGCATGGATGCTGCCCTGCTGCAGGAACGGGCTCCGCGCCAACGGCCCGGCGGCGGCGGAAGCGTGGGGGAGCGGGAGCGTGCGGAAGCGGCGGACCGCCGGGCCGGTAGGCGGCTGCCTTCCGGGCGCCGCTGCCGGCGCTCAGGAGGTGCGCCGCCCGCGCCGGCAGACACTGCCGCAGCGACCTTCTGTCTGCTCGCCGTCGCCGTGGAAGCATGTGTGCGTCGAGGGACGCCTCCCACCGCGCAGCTCGGAGGCTCTCCACGCTGGACGGCAGCGCACTGCTGCATGCTGGCCTGCGGCTCTGCACCTGCGGCTGCACGGTGCGGCTGCCACGCCTCGCTGCGCGTGCGCGTCATGGTGCTGCATGCGGCTCGACGCGTGTGGAGCACGCTCTACGACGTCGCTGCGATGGCAGACGTTGCCTGCTGCCGTCCGCGCCACACCTTGCGGGCCCGAGTGAAGCATCGCGGACGCTGCTGCTGCGAGAGAGAGAGGCCTGTCCAGGTCTCGCGCGGCAGGCGGAGCAGGGCGCCGTGTGGGGTGCGCCGTGCCCGCTGTCGGTGACGCACGATGGGAGCGTGTGCAGGGTGCACGACAGATGCATGCAGGCGCGCAGGCACGCCGAGCGGGAAGCACAGCCGAGGCGGAAGCGCGAGCCGCGGCTGCACGCCTCGATACGTGCGGTGAGCGCGTCGTGCAGCCAGCAAGGCCGCTCCACCGCAAGCCACCCGCGGCACATTTCTGCTCCTCGCCCGGCCGCTGCTGCTCGGCGCTCCGCTGCTCCCACCACGACGACCCGCTGCGACACCTCCCACACAAGCCCGCCATCCCTTAGCCGTCCCGCGCAGCCTACTCTTACTGCCAGCAGCGCACCCGCGCTCGCGCCTGCACCACCGCCTCCACCCTCGTCCGTGCCTGGCCATGCCGGAGGCCAACGCGCCGCAGCCGGCGCCGCCGCTCGCGCTCGCGCAGTCGCCCGGGCGCGCCGACTCGGAGCCCGTGCCCGCGTCGCCGGCGCGCTCGCCGTCGTCGCTCAAGGAGCGCTTCTCGCGCTTCTCGCTGCTGCCCGGTCGCCGCCGCGAGAGCGCCGACGCCGGCAAGCGCGCCAGCATCGACGGCGGCGGCGCCTCGTCCGGCGACACGGCCGCCAGCCGCACCAACTCGATGCCCGCCGACGCCACGCCCGCCTCGAGCGTCGAGAGCGAGCCGTTCCAGAGCATCCGCGGCGGCAGCGCCAAGGACAAGGAGCGCCTCGACAAGGAGCGCGCCCAGCGCGCCGCCGAGCAGGCGCACCAGAAGCGCCTCACGCTCGCGCGCCGCATGCAGAGCGACCTGCGTGCGGCGCAGGTCGAGACGCCCGAGGAGCGCGGGCGCTACGGCGACGGCGTGCCCGCCGCCGGCTGGGCCAACGACTACTCGGCGCTCGTGCCGCTGGAGAGCATCGACGCCGAGGGCGTGGGCGAGACCATCGTGCTGCGCGCGCGCATCCACGCCAAGCGCACGCTCTCGCCGCACCTCGCCTTTCTCTTCCTGCGCCAGCAGACGAGCACGCTGCAGGCCGTCGTCGCCGAGTCGCGCGGCGGCCTCTCGCTGCACGCGGCAAAGTGGATCGAGCGCCTGCCCGTCGAGAGCATCGTGATCATGCGCGGCACGCTGGCCAAGCCGCGCGAGCGCGTCCTCGGCGCCACGATCCACGACGTCGAGCTGCAGGTGACCGACTGCTTCCTCGTGTCGCGCCCGACGATCGACCTGCCGTTCACCGTGTACGAGGCGGACCGCGCGCCGCTGTCCGGCGCGCACGCCGACAAGGCCGCCAAGCACAGCGAGAGCGATGCCGACGACGACGACGACGCGCCGTCGGACACGGACTCGCCGCGCCACTCGCGCCATCTCGAGGGCGCCGAGGCCTCGCCGCGCCCGTCGCGCCTCGACGAGCTCAGCCCTACCGCCAGCAGCAGCGAGCAGCCGCGCAGCTCCGTCTCGTCGCGCCGGCGCTCGGCGCACGGCCTGCCCGGCGCGCCGCCGCCGGCCGCAGTCTCGAAGCGCACGCGCCTCTCGAACCGCATCCTCGACATCCGCTCGCCGGCGTCGCAGGCCATCTTCCGCATCAATTCGCGCGTCAGCACGCAGTTCCGCGCCTCGCTGCTCTCGCAGGGCTTCCTCGAGATCCACACGCCCAAGCTGCAGGCCGGCAGCTCCGAGAGCGGCTCGTCCGTCTTCCAGCTCGACTACTTTGGCCGGCCCGCGTTCCTCGCGCAGAGCCCGCAGCTGTACAAGCAGATGGCAATCTCCGCCGACCTGCAGCGTGTGTTCGAGATCGGGCCCGTGTTCCGCGCAGAGAACTCGTGAGTGAAACGTGCGAGGGCGGTGCGAGTGCGGGCTGACACGGCCTCCGGCAGCAACACGGCGCGCCACCTGACCGAATACACGGGTCTCGACCTCGAGATGCAGATCATCACCGACTACCACGAGGCGATGCGCGTCATCGACACGATGCTCAAGAGCGTCTTCTCGGCGCTGCAGACGCACTGCAAGCGCGAGATCGAGCTCGTGCAGCGCCACTGGCCGCACGAGGACCTGGTGTGGCTCGACGAGACGCCAGTGATCGAGTTCAAGGAGGGCGTCAAGATGCTCGTCGAGAGCGGCTGGAAGGAGGAGAACGGCGAGCCTCCGGCCGAGGACGAGGACCTGAGCACGCGCGGCGAGGCGCGCCTCTGCGAGGTGCGTGTGATGCCTCGCCGTGTTGAGCGCACGCTGACGTCCGATGCAGCTTGTCAAGCAAAAGTACAAGACCGACTACTTCATCCTCGACAAGTTCCCGGCCTCGGTCCGCCCGTGAGTGCGCCGCTGGCTCGCAGTGTGCCCCCACGCTCACACCGCTGCAGCTTCTACACGCACCTCGATCCCGAGAACCCGCGCTTCACCAACTCGTTCGACATTCTGCTGCGCGGCACGGAGATCTGCACGGGCGGGCAGCGCATCCACGACGCGCGCAAGCTCGAGGCACGCATCCGCGAGGCCGGCGTCGACGCGCGCAGCCTCGACGAGTACATGGAGGCGTTCCGCCTCGGTGTCTCGCCGCACGCCGGCTGCGGCATTGGCCTGGAGCGCATTCTGACCACGTTCCTGGGCCTCGGCGACGTGCGCTGGTCGACGCTCTTCTTCCGCGACCCCAAGAGTCTGCCGCTCGACCACAGACCGCCGCCGCTGCGCCACCCCGAGGCAGACACACTGGCCGCCGCGTCGCGTGCGGCGCTGGCAGAGCACGACGCACACGCGTCGCCCGAGGACGCGCCGGCGCCGGCGCCGCTCGCCAAGACGCCCTCTGCCAACGGCGAGGCCTCGACGCCGGCCAAGCCGCTCGTGGTGGCACAGCCTGAGCCCGAAGGCGACGGTGCGCAGCTTGCCGACGGCCCGCCCAGTAAGTGGCCGCTGGCAAAGCTAATCGCCAACTACGGCGACTCGTCGAACACGTCGTGGCTCGACTCGCGCTTCCAGGTGTGGCGCCACGACGCCAGCGGCGGTGCTGTCGGCTTCGTGAAGCGCGGCAAGTTTGCCATCGTGGTGGGCAACCCGCTGTGCGACCACACGCAGTACCGCCTCGTCATCGACGCCTTCCTGGCGCACCTGCGCGAGAAGGAGAAGCTCAAGCCGATCTGGCTGCTCGTCGGCGAGGAGGTCGAGCACATCCTCGGCGGGCGCCTCGACTGGAGCAGTCTGACGTGCGTCGTGGAGCAGCGCGTGCCCAAGGAGGGCCGCGCCGCTGCCATCCGCGGCGGCGACATCGAGAAGAAGCTGCGCAAGGCCGAGCGCGAGGACCTGCACATCGACGAGTACGGCTTCCGCGACGAGATTCCGCAGGACGTCAAGGCCGAGGTGGAGAAGCGCATCGAGGACTGGAAGAAATCGCGCGAGGGCAAGCAGCTGCACCTGACGATGGTCGACCCGTGGCAGGACGAGGGGCACCGCGCATACTACGTCACGCGCTCCAAGGACAAGAAGATTCAGTGTCTCGTCGTGCTGGCGCAGCTGAGCCCGGCCAACGGCTTCCAGATCAAGTGGGCGTTCGACTTTCCCGGCGCCATCAGCGGCGCCATCGAGTACACCATCGTGCACGCCGTGTCCGAGTTCGGCGGCGACAGCTTCACCTTCGGCGCCAGTGCGGCGGCCAACTTCCACACCGTGCACAACCTCGGCGGCCTGCGCGTGCGCGCCCTCAGCAAGACGTACGCCGCCATCTCGGCCGCCGCGGGCCTCGGCGGCAAGAACGACTTCCGCAAGAAGATCGGCGCGCGCGACGAGCCGCTGTACATTGCGTTCCCGCGCCACGGCCTGCGGCACGGCGGAGTGCGCGTGAGTAGGCGACGAAGAGTGTCGCCGCAGAGGCATACGCTGACCCCTCTGTGCAGGCCATCATGAACTTCTTCGAGGAGTGAGCACCCTCATCCCACACCTAGCTCGCCTGCTGGCCGCCGCTCGGCGGTCCTTGTATACCTATGTCTATCCCAGCGCGTAACCGTACTACCCCACACACGAACTCAGCCTCTTTCCCATGGCCTCTCGGCTCGCTGCTGTTTCATGTGTGCATTTGCGCCAAGCTTGCTCATAGGCAGCGCGGCGTCGCGGCTAGTGGTAGTTCTCCGCCGGGTAGTATGCGTGCGGGCTATGTGGTCGGATCAGCTCGCCGCCGTCGTGCTTTCTCGCTGCGTCTCTCGTGCGGCACAACTCACTCATGCGGCACATCGCCCGGGTTCTTCTTCAGGATAGCCGTGGGCCGCGTGAACGGCGGCGTCGGCGGCAGACGGCTGGGCGCATATGCGCCCTCGGCGCTGGGCGCATGGGCCTGCGCCAGCACGTCGGTGAAGGCGCTGGCAGACGAGAGGTCCGACGGGCGCGTCAGCGCCGTCGAGGTGCCGCTGGCCGGCAAGCTGCGAGGGCGAATGTGAGCGATGGTCGCCAAGAGCGTTGCTGGTGCGCCGGACGCGCTTGCCCGACCCGTGCACCGACACGGGATGCTCGACCTCTTCGAGCTCCGGAGCAGGCTCTGCGTTCGCCTAGATCACGCGCCGCCGCCGCCGCCGCCGCCGCCATCACTGCCATGCGTGCCATGCCACTCCTTCTCAAATTCTACGGCCCTTGCCCCGCCGCGATACGCACCTCTTCGTGCCGTCCTCGTTGGTGTCGGCGAGGAGGAGCGTGGTGAGGTCCTGCTGCGTGACCATGTGCAGCTGCGGGTAGGCGCGGCGGAAGTCGCGCTCGTAGTAGCCGAGGCCGGCAATGTCCGAGGCTGTGCGAGAGGCACCGCGCGTCAGCGATGGCACGCAGCAGCGGCCAGGCAGCAGCCGCACGCACCGCGCGTCGGCATCGTGGCCTGGCGCTCGGGGCGCGAGCCGGGCGTGGGCATGCGGTTCTGCGCAGGGAGTGAGCACGCAGTACGACAGCTATCGGCAGCCGGCGCGGCGCACCTCGGTCGGGAGCGGCAGGCCGGAGGAGATGTCGCTGCTCAGAAGGTCAGCAGGGCACAGCGCGCGAGGCGGCAGCAGGCGGCACGCACGGGTTGACGGAGAACATCTCGCGGAACCTGCGAGAAGATAGTTAGTGCGTGCGCCAGCGCAGAAGGAGCGCATTGTCTGAGGCCTAGATTCTCCGGAAGAGCGCCAACCCGATCGCAGCGTTAGATCGCGACGGCCCGGACGGCATTCTGCAGCTCGCGAGCAGCGGCGGAGGCGGCGAGGGCCAGTGCTGACATTCCGCGTGCTACCATGACGTTTGCCGACTTAAGCATACGCTGGTGCAGCCTCCGCCGCCGCGCTGCCGCTGCTCTGCTTGCGATGCAGGTGCGATCTTCCTGTCCGAGCACGCGCTGCCTTTCCCTCGCTCTCTCTGCGCGCGGCCACCTCTAGCGTCGCTCTCGGAGCAGTGTACCGCGCTGCATGCGCCGTCTCCTGCCGCCGCACTGCCTGACTCTGGCGCGGCGACTCACTTGCGCCAGAAGGGCGTGGCGCCCTCGCGGTACGTGTAGGCGTGCGGGCTGGCGGGCTCGCGGCCGAGCTCGCTGGCGGCGCCGCGGCGTGCGAGGGCGGCGCGCGCGGCCGACGTGGCGGCGGCGGGCGCGGCGCCGCTGGCTGCTGCCGGGAGCGAGGAGAGGAGGGTGCGGCTGGGACGCATGGCGGACGGCGGTGAGGTGGAGAGGCAGGAAGCAGGCGCGCGCTTGGGCGGCGACGACGGCGCGCGCGGGTGACTACAGTGCGCCGCTGTATGCGCACCACAGCGCGTCGTTGTAGTCGGCGCCTCCCGCACGGGACCGCGCCTGCCAGCAGCGCGGCGTGCCTGGCGCGGCGAGGGAGCGTGCGCTGCTGCGACTCACGCTGCCGCCGCGCGAGCTCGAGCGGCCCCAACGCTTCTCGGGGCGCTGCGCTGCGCCGTGACGCGCGCTGCTGGCCCGTCCTCGTTCATGCGCCCGGGGTCACCACAGGGCCCACTGCTACTCGCTGCGCTCAGCTCTCCCACCACCGCCAAGCCACGCCGCGCACTCTCCGTGCCCACGCTCCTCGCTGTCCTCGCCCCCGCCCACGCTCTGCCGTGGCTCATGGCGCAGCCGCCGCGCGCATCGGGCTCGCACGCAGCAGCAGCAGGCAGCTCCGCAAGCAGCACACAGCCGCCGCAGCCGCAGCACGGCGCACTCGCGCAGCCGCAGTCGCCGCAGCAGCAGGCACACAGCAGCACCGCCGCACAGCATGCCGACCTAGACGCGCTGGCCACGCTGGCCGCGTCGCCGAGCCCGTCGCCGGCGCTCAGTGCCTACTCCTACGGCAGCTCCGCCAGCGGCGACGACGAGCTCGCCGCCCTCTCGCTCGACGACTGGGCCTACCCGCACCGCCGCCGCAGCAGCGCCGGCAGCGCCGCCAGCGGCGCACCTGACCCGCTCGACGACGATGTGCCGGACGTGCAGCGCATCGCCGAGCTGCGCGACGGCGCCGGCAGCGGCGTCGCGACGCCCGTGGCGCCGGCGTCGCACTCGCGTCTGGCCGCGCTGCGCCGCGCCCTCGACCCGCGCCGCCTCGTCGCGCGCCACCGCCACGGCACCGAGCCCGGCGAGGGCGACGAGGAGGAGGAAGAGGAGGAGGGCGAGGGCGAGGGCTTCGACCTGCAGGACGAGGACGAGGAGGACATGCACGCCGCCGGCGTGCCGGCTGCGCGCGGCTGGCGGCTCGACGCGCGGTGAGTGGGCGATGCGGAGCGTGCCAGCAGCTTGCGGAGAGCGTGGGTCAGAGGACGAGCGGCTTCCGCGCTGCAGCGTGCAGCGAGTCTGGAGCACATGCGATGTGACGCTGCAGCGAGTCGCACGTTCATCTTACCCGCACCACTCCTGTCGCCTTCTGGCTCACGCTCGACCATGCAGGCAAATGGAGACGCCCACGTTCCGCGCGCGCGTGCTCGACATGTTCGCGCACGAGCTCAAGCTCGCCGGCTGGGCCGACGCCGACGTGCCCGCGCCGCTGCTGCCGCTGCAGCCGGAGCGCGTGACGCTGAAGCGCGTCTCGGGCGCCTTTTCGAACGTCGTCATCTTTGCCTCGTACTCGCTCGACGGCGTCGCGGCCGGCGCCGAGGCGCTCGTCGGCCCGCCGACGGTGCTGTTGCGCGTGTACGGCACGGCAACCGAGGTGCTGCTGAGCCGCCGCGCCGAGCTGCTCATCCTGCACACGCTGTCCAGCCTGTACGAGATCGGCGTAAGTGCCGTGCGTGTGCTGCTTGTGGCTAGCCTGACACCCCGCGCAGCCGCACATTCTCGGCACCTTTGCCAACGGACGCGTCGAGGGTGAGTGCGCGAGGTGCGATCAAGCCCGCACCAGCTGACGCGCGCGCCCGCAGAGTACTTTGACTGCGTGCCTATCGGCAAGGACGGCATGCGCGACCTTGGCACGCGCAGCGAAACCATCGTCGCAGACGGCTCGCTGCTCGTGCGTGGCGTCGAGGGCCGCGCGCAGTGGGCGGCGCGGCGCATGCGCGAGCTGCACGAGGTGCCGCTCGAGCCGATCCGCACCGTGCTGGAGCAGGGCGACCTGCGCGCGCCGAGCGACAAGGGCTTCGGGCGCGGCATCGAGCGGCACCTCTTTGCGCGCGCACACAGGCCGCGGCGGCCGCAGCCCGTGCCGACGCAGAACGCAGGCGGCAGCGGCTACTTTGGCGAGCCGCCGAGCGCCTCGTCGACCTCGAGCGCCGCCATGGCAGGCGGCATGCGCGACAGCCCGGCACCCATGACGCCGCCTGCGCCCACCGAGGCCACCTCCATCGCCGCTGCGGCCGCCGCCGGCGCGCGCGCACAGGCACTCGAGATCCGCGGCGCATCGCCAAAGAACCGCAACAACAGCGTCACGTCGTTCGACTCGCTCGCCACGTCATACTCCAGCACGGCAAGCTTCAGCAGCGACACGACGCGCTCGCCGATGCTGCGCGGCGCCGACTCGTACATCGACTCGGTCAGCGCGGCGCGGCGCGGCAGCAGCGGCGTGCTGAGCCGCATGCAGCCGCCGACGCCGCGGCACCGCAACAGTGGCAGTACGAGCTACGTGCCATACCCGGGCGTGTGGCGGCGCACGAAGCGCTGGTCGCGCGAGGCGGCCAAGGTGCTGGCGCTGGTGGACGACTTTGCGACGTCGCCCGAGGGACGCGAGGCGTGCGCGCGCGTGCTTGCCGACGTGCCCTTCCGGCTCTCAGCCTCGCTGCCGGGCGGCGAGGGCGGCAGCGGCGGCGCCAGCGGCGACACGACGATGCGCGAGTCGGAGAACGGCAGCGCGCACAGCTCCGACAGCGGGCACACGGGCACGCCCAACGCGCAGCTGGCCTGTCCTACGGCCGCGGCGATTGGCTCGACGGCGACGCTGCAGAACATGCTGCTCGCCATCTCGGCCATCGACTTTGGCCGCCTCGTGCTCGAGATGGACGCGTTCAAGCAGCACGTGCGCGCCTGGGAGCGCGCCGAGGGCCAGTCGAAGCGCGTCCTCACGCACGGCGACACGCAGTACGGCAACCTGCTCATCCGCAAAAGCATGGACCCCGAGCGGCCTGTCGCCTCGGGCATGCCGCGCACGAACACGGGCGGCAGCATGAGCGGCGCCCAGGGTGCGCCCTCGCCGGCGCTGGGTGCCGACAAGGGCCGCTCAAGGAGCAAGGGACGTAAGGCACGCATGGCACCGCACGAGCGGCTTGTGGTCATCGACATGGAGTACCTGAACCACGGCGTGAGTAGAGTGGAGCGCTGCGTGTTGCCGGCCACTGACACACGCCTTCCAGCCGCGTGCCTACGACATTGCCAACATGTTCATCGAGTGGGGCGCCGACTACGACCACCCGACGGACTCGTGGAACATGACGATCAACGGGCCGTACCCGAGCGCCGACGAGCGGCGGCGCTGGCTGCGCGCGTACGCCGAACAGGGCCGCCTGATGCGCATGCGCGGCAAGGCGCCGCTCATGACGCACGCCGTCGCCGCGGGCAGCACAAGCCTCGTCGACGGCTCGCGCCGCTCGCCCACGCCGGCCAGCACACCGGCCAGCACGCCCGCCTCGGGCGCCGAGGTGCCGCCGCCGATTGCGGCGCTGCCGCCGCCGCTCGTGCCGCTGCAGGACGGCAGCACGGCCTCGCGCAGCACAGCGACAACGCCGGCCAGCAGCCGCGCCGCGAGCCTGAGCCCGCGCGTCGGGCCCGCCGACTCGTCGGCCGCGTCGTCGCCGGCGCTGTCGCTCAACGGCACGCCGGCGCCGCTCTCGGCGGCGGCGTCGTCGCTGGCGCGCCTCGACGCGTCGCTGGAGCGCGAGGTGGAGCGCCTGGAGCGCGAGGTGCGCGTGTGGCGCCCCGCCAGCCACGCCGTGTGGGCGCTGTGGGGCATCACATTTGCGCGCGAGCGCCTCGAGCTGCTCCTGGCGCGCGAAAAGGAGCGCGTGCGGCGCCGCTGGGCGGGCGAGGCCGAGGCCGACGAGGAGGAGGTCAAGGCGAGCGCGCCGGGCAGTGCCGAGAGCTTCGACAACGTGAGTGGCGCGCCGTCGCTGTATGTCTGCCCGCGTGCTGACCCACGCCGCAGCTGCGCTACGCCCTCGGCCGCGTCGAGATGTTCCGGGCGGCGATTGCCGAGCTGGGCATCACGCTGTGATGCTCGCGCCCGCCGCGCCTCTGCCGTGCCCCGCATGCTCTCCGTCTCTCTCCTCCATTCCGTCCCCATCCTCTGCATCGCTGCTGTGCGCCCGGCTCTTGCCGCTGTGCATCCCCTCTGGGCCATCCTGTAACGCACGCCTCACCCATGCCGCGAGAAGCAACGCAATAGACGAGAAGCTCCACCCACTGCGCTGTCGCTGCCGTGGGAACAGCCCTACGCTGCCACGTGCGTCTCCGGCGCCGCCGCCGATGCGCGAGCAACGAGCGCGGCTGCATCTTGCTTGCGCCGTGAGGGTCGCGCCGCGCTCTCGGCCGTAGCGCTGCCGGGGCCCGAGCAGGATCGACGCCGCGCGCCGCACCTTCCACCTGCCCTCAGGGGCGCCATTTGTTTCAGCTTAGGCGATGCTTCGCCGAGGCAGCACTCTGTTCTGTGCATTCGCGCCTCGCCGAGCAATAAGCATAGAGCGTCCTTCTCGCCGCGGCGCCGCCTTCTCCTCGCGGCCGGCGGGCCGTGCGTGTGCGCTCATGCACGCTAAGGTCAGCGCGCTCCGCCGTCCGCGGACCCGCACTGGCCTGGGCAGCGCACGCCGGCCGCGCTGCGCTGCTCGCTGCCTGCACCCTGCCGCACCGCTGACGCACGCGCCACATGCGCCGGGCGATCAGCTGATGGGCCGCCGCTGCCTGGAAGATGCGGGCGGGCGGACGCCGCTCCACCACGCATGGCAGCCGCCGCACGGCACCGCTGCCTCTCAGCTCACCACCACCATCACCGCCATGTCCGCCGCTGCCTCGCGCGCCCTCGCGCCGCTGCTCAGCGTCGCCGCACCGCCGCTGCACGGCCTCGCGCGCCGCGTGCTGCTCGCCTACTTTGCACGCCTCACGCGCGGCTCGCTGTCGATCACCGAGCACGGCCAGCCCGACGTGCGGCTGGGCGCCGACGCGCCGCAGGAGGGCGATGCGCACGCCGTGCTGCGCGTGCGCCACGCGCGCTTCTGGACACGCATGCTGCTCGGCGCCGACCTGGGCTTTGCCGAGGCGTACATGACGGGCGACGTCGAGTGCGACGAGCTCGGCGAGGTCTTCCGCGTGAGTGCCGGCGGGCGAGTGCGGTGCGGCGGCGGGCGGGACAGTGCGGCGCAGTGGAGGCAGGGCAGGGCGCAGTGCTGCAGGAAGAGGCAGGACAACAGCGGAGCAGTGCTCGCTTGCAGCTGTGCTGCTGTGAGCTCGGCGCACGCCGGGCGAAGGCGCCGGCCGCCGGGCCGCCAGATGTGCCGGAGATCAGAGCAGCCGCAAGCAGCGCGCTGCGTCTTGCAGCCATGGCTCGGTGCGTGCCAACGCTGCGGCCGGCCATGCGCTGCCACGGCAGACGCGCTTTGCCAGACGAGCTGCTCGGGCAGAGACCTGCGCGGTGCTGCTCCGCCGAGCAGCGCTTCTCCTCGCCCGCCAGCCTCGTCGCGCATCCACTGACACCTTCTCCAGCTGTTCATCCACAACCGCGAGGCGCTCGGCAACCTCGAGGTCGGCCTGCTGGCCAATGCCAGTGCCTGGCTGCAGGCGCAGCTCAACCGCCGCTACGCCAACACGCGCGCCGGCAGCCTGAGCAACATCGGCGCACACTACGACATTGTGCGTGGGGTCCTGTGCACGACGTGTGCCGGCCGCTGACACCCTGTGCGCAGTCGAACCAGATGTACGAGGCCTTCCTCAGCGCCGACATGACGTACTCGTGCGGCGTGTACCCGACGCTCGACGCCGACGTCGGCGCCGCGCGCCACGCCAGCGCCAAGCTCGCGCAGCTCACCAACGGCGCGCCGCGCAAGCCGCAGGGCAGCGGCGAGTTTGCCGACGACGGGCCCGGCGGGCCGACGCCGCCCGACGCCGAGGCGCGCAGCGACGACGGCAAGGCGGCCAAGGACGAGCTCGAGGCGGCACAGCTGACGAAGCTGCGCCTGCACATCGAGCGCGCCGACATCCGCAAGGGCCACCATGTGCTCGAGATCGGCACGGGCTGGGGCAGCTTTGCCATGGAGGCCGTGCGGCGCACCGGCTGCACCGTCGAGAGCCTGACGCTGAGCGTCGAGCAAAAGGCGCTGGCCGAGGCGCGCATCGCCAAGGCGGGCATGAGCGGCAGCATCAAGGTGCACCTGCTCGACTACCGAGACATGCCGGCGTCGTGGAACGACAGCTTCGACCGCGTCGTGAGCATCGAGATGCTCGAGGCCGTCGGCATCGAGTTCCTGCCGACGTACTTTGAGAACGTGTCGCGCGTGCTCAAGGCGCAGGGCGGCGCCGCGTGCTTCCAGTGCATCACGATGCCCGAGTCGCGCTTCGAGGCGTACGCGGCGGGCGTCGACTTTATCAAGAAGTGGATCTTCCCCGGCGGCGTGCTGCCGTCGGTGACGGCGCTCATCGACGCTGCGACGCGCGGCAGCAAGGGCACGCTGCAGCTCGACGCCGCGCTCTCCATCGGGCCGCACTACGCGCGCACGCTGCGCGAGTGGCGGCAGCGCTTCGACGCCGCGTTCGACGAGCACGTGCGGCCGGCGCTGCTCAGCGACCACAAGGCAATCCGCGAGCTGCCGGCCGAGGCGCAGGCGCGCGAGGTCGAGGTGTTCCGGAAAAAGTGGACGTACTACTTTGTGTACTGCGAGGTGGGCTTCACAGAACGCGTCATTGGCGGTGAGTGGAGCGGCGGGCTGCTGCCTTTGTCTTTGTGCTCACACACCACCCGCGCAGACCACATCCTCTCCTTTACGCGCGAGGGCAACACGAGCCTGCCGACGTGCTGCGGCTGAGCGCCGGGCGGGTCTGCTGTCGATACCCTACTCTCTTCCTCCTGCCGCTGCGCTCTCGCGGCTCACGGCAACGCTCCTTTGCCCTGCTCCCAATCCGTGCGCCTGCCTTGCCCTCCTCTGCGCCCTCGCCCGCCCGCTGTTACGCAATTCGACGTGCATCTTCTCCGACTCCTCCAGCGAGAGGCGCCCAGCAGTGCCTGGGCCCGGTTGCGTCGCCGGGGTGCGAAGGTGACATGACGCGAGGCGGGTCGGTCTGGCTGAGCGGCAGCAGTGACTGGCAGCTCGCCTGCTCTCTTTTCTCTCGTGCTCGCCGAGCTCGTTCCAGCTGCAGCTCCAGTCAGAGCTGGGTCTGGACCGGCTCTCGTCTCTGCCTGGCGCCATGCTGGCCAGTGGAACCGAGGGCTGTTCCCACGCCGGTCGCGCAGCTTGGCGCCCGTGCGCCGTGCGCGCTCGTGCCGCTCGCCGCCGCCGGCGATGCTTGCTTCTCACCACCACCTCAACAGCGGCCTGTGTGGCCATCGCTTTTGCGTGCACAATCTGGGTCTGCATCGAGATGGGCCACATGCGCCGTCTCGTAGTGGCGCTGCTGCTGCTTGGCTGCCTGGTGCCGCTGCTCATGGCGGCGCAGCACCCGTTCAGCAACGAGGCATCCTTTGTGCGTGCCGGAAAGAGGCATCTCTTCGACGCGCACGGGCCCGTCTATCTCACAGGCCTCAACTAGTGCGTCTCCCTGCATCGCACTGTCACTCTTTGCTGACCGCTCGACACAGCTGGGCATGCATGAACCTCGCTGCGGCGCCCGACGCCGGCGGTGACCGCGCACGCCTCGAGGCCGAGCTCGATCAGATGGCTGCCGCTGGCATCAACCACCTGCGCATCATGGCCGGCAGCGAGGGCTCCGACTCAGCACCATTCCGCATGCGCCCGGCGCTACAGCCGCTTGCCGGCGAGTGGGACGAGCGCCTGCTGCACGGCCTCGACCGCTGCCTCGTCGGCGCCCGCCAGCGCGGCATGCGGGTCACGCTCGTGCTCGGCAACACGTGGTTCTGGAGCGGCGGCCTGGCGCAGTACCGCGCCTGGGCGCACGGCAGCACCATTCCGTATCCGCCGGCGTGGAACATCTCGGCGCCGCCGCAGCGCAGCGACGGCTTCGCAGGCTGGGGCAGCTACACGGGTGCCAAGGACGGGGCGGCGAGCTACGGCGCATACATGCGCTACGTCAACGGCTTCTACGAGGACGCGCCGGCGCAGGGCCTCTTCGAAGAGCATGTACTGCGTATCGTGCGCCGCACTAACTCGCTCACTGGTGTCCGCTACGTCGACGACCCGACGATCCTCGGTGCGCGCCAGTGCTGGCGTATTGTCTCCGCGGCGCTGACTCTGACTCCAGCTTGGGAGCCGATCAATGAGCCGCAGGCCACCTCGGTGCCTGACGACACTGATCCCTGGCACATGGCGGTGAAGCCGAACGCAAGCGACGCCATGCTGCACTGGCATGCGCGCACCACGGCGCTGCTCAAGCGTCATGCGCCGCGGCAGCTCGTCACGAGTGGCTTCGAGGGCAAGCAGGGCGCCTGGTACTTCAAAGCGCTGCACCGCGATGCGAACGTTGACTTTGCATGCGGTGAGCCCGCTCACTGGCCTCGTACGGCGCTCCGGCCGCGGCTGACGCAGACTCAGCCCACGCCTGGCCGCAGAACTGGAGCTTCTACAGAATGGGCAACGCGAGCGACGCGAACCTCGAGGGCGCGATTCAGTTCGCAACGGACTATCTCGGCAGTGCGTGGCAGCCCGTCGTGCGTGGTCTCATAGAGCTGAGCATCACGTATCGCAGATGTGTCCAGCTGGGCGCAGGAGGTCGGCAAGCCTGTGGTGCTGGAAGAGGTACGCCCCTCTCTCTCGCTCTGAGGGCAGCACTGCTCACGCTCTGCAGTTCGGCATGCCGCGCGACAACTGGCACAACGCAGTGCCTCTCTACCCCGTGCGTCGACTCCTTGTCTCGCTTCTCCTTTGTCACCTGACTTCTCGCTGGTAGTACGCGTCGTCGGCGCCCACGACGCACCGCGACGCCCTCTTTGCGCGTGTGCTGGACAAGGCGCACACGCTCTACGCACGAGGCGCAGGCGTGGTGGGCGTCATGCCGTGGGCGTACGGCGGCGTGTGGCGGCCAGAGACGCAGCGCTTCTCTACGCACGGCGTCGTGTGGGCCGGCGATCCGATGCATGAAGGTCAGTGGGCCAGCGGTGCGGCAGCTCACTGACTGACGGCGGGCATGCGCAGCACCGGGCTGGTACTCGATCTACGACAAGGACCACACGACGCTGGCGCTGCTGCGCGAGCACGCGCGCAGGACCCGACACACGGCGCCGGGCGCGGCGACGTAGGTCGAGGCAATTTGCATTGGTTTGGCAGTGTTGCAGAGCAGCAGCAGGCGCAGCCTAAGAGCAGCTTTCTATCCACGACCTTTTGGCGCCGTCGGCGCTTCTGCGACGGGTCGCTTTCATGGGCGATTGCTCGCCGGCACGGCCTTGAGGCTCCGCTCGCCGGGGCGTCCTGACGGCGGCGCCACGTACGCCGGCACCGCTGGCCGCGGCTCGGCGGTGCTCTCTGTCGCCTTTGCTGCGGCAGAGGGCGCAGGCGCAGGCGGTGCGTCGACGGCGCCCTTGGCGCGCGAGTGCGCAGAAGCCGTCTTGCTCGGGCGCAGGTAGGACGAAATGAAGAAGTGGGCGAACAGCGCCAGCAGCGGCTGCGAGGCGGGGATGCATAAGCTCATGGCCCGAAGCGCTAGGGCCGCAGCATACATACCAGCATGTAGGCGGTGTTGACGTGCAGCGCGACCTCGGCGCCCTTGGTCTGCAGGCACGACGCCGGCACGCTGCTCGTCGCGCGGTCGGCGGCGTACGTGGCGAGCGCCATGGCCTTGCGCGGCGGGCCGCCGCCAAAGAAGAGCGTGTCGGTGTGCGAGGCAAAGAGGCGCGGCAGCGACGTGTGCACCGTCGCGAGCGTCGAGAGCACGTGAGCGGGCGTGATGGAGATGAGCAGGTAGAGGTTCGTCAGGAGCGTGCCTGCAGAGATGGTTAGCGCGAGAGGGTACGCGTTGCAGGCGCTCGACGCACCGCTGGCGATCTGCAGGATCTGCAGCGTGGTGAGGTTGCGCTTGAGGGCGCGCGGGAAGGGCAGGTGCAGCGCGGCGCAGACGTAGTAGAGATACATGGCCGTGTGCACGCCCGAGTTGAACGTGACGAAGACTGGCAGGGCGTGTGTGAGTCCACGGCATGCACGCCAGCGAGCCCACGCGTACGCACCCCACACTGGCTGCGACTGGTAGCGGTACGCCACCCACATGCAGATGAGCGCGCCGGCGTGGTGGTAGCTCTGCAGGTGGCCGATGCGCTTGCCCTTGAGATGCAGGATGAGCGAGTCGACCTGGAGCGGTGTGAGCGGCACGGCGCAGAGCGAGAGACACGGCAGCACGCACCACCTCGTAGTACTTGGACAGCATGAAGAGGTACGCCCAGCGGCCGAGGTACGGGTCGTTGGTGGGGATGGAGCAGAGCGCCACCTTCATGCCTGGCGCCGCAGGTCAGCTCGGCCTCTCGCACACGACACGCGCGGCTCACCCTCGACGCCGCTGCCGCGCCAGCCCTGCACGAAGAGGTCGACGACGGGCGGCAGCATGGCGGCGAACGTGAATGCGCTGTACAGCGCCAGTGCCAGGTTGTGCGCCACGACGGCGGCGCGCAGCAGCTGCGCCGTCGGCCCTGTGCCGCGCGTGGCATCCTTGGGCGCGCTGCCCAGCGTGTGATTCGCGGCGTGTGCGACGATGTAGTAGACGGCGCTGAAGAGCAGCGGCGGCAGCGGGCGCAGCGACGCCTCGTAGAAGGCGACGGGGACGAGCCGCTCGAGCAGCGCATGCCCGGCGAAGGGGTATGGTGGGTAGGGCGCATGGCGCAGCGCGGCCCACGAGTCGTGGCCCGGCGCGTCGAGCGGGTAGCCCGTGCTGGCGACGCGCGCCGAGGTGAAGTAGCCGGGCGCCAGCACGTAGAGCGCAGCAACGGCGCCGGCGAGCAGCACGGGGAACACGGGCACGGAGGGCATGGTGGTGGAGGGAAGCGGTGAAGTGCGGCGTAAGCAGCGAAGAAAGGCGACATGCACCGCGGCGGCGTCTGCTTCCGCCTCGTCGGCGCGCCGCCGGCATCTCACAACGCGCGGTGGAGGCGGCGCATCGGGCCCGTGCCTTGCTTAGCTCATGCGCGCCGATCCTGCCGCGCAGATGCATCACGCCAGATCTCGCACCGCCTGTCACGCGCACGTGGGCCAGCGTCGCAGCAGACATGCAGCATCGCCAGGATAGGCACTCTATTTCCTCCTCTCCGCCCAGCACTTGCGGGCCGAACAGCATGAGACGCGCCGGTGGATGCGGCGAGGGCCACGCTCCTGCTGGCCCGTGAGGGCAGCGCGCCTAGTAGACGTAGGGGATGAAGCGCTGGGCCGGAGAGCGTCAGCACGGGCGCACGCAGCATGCGCACACACAGCACACGCACGTAGGCCACAATGCTGCAGTACTTCTCCCAGTCCTTGCCGTACTTCTTCTCGCACTGCGGCAGCGGGTCAGCCGGCCGCGCTCGTCACGCACACAGAGCCACTCACGCGCTCAAAGTCGCGGCCGCAGCGGTGCGTGAGCACGGCAAGGAAGAAGAGCGGGTAGCTGCGGGGCGACGGAGTCAGCCTCGGTGCATGCGCTGCGCCGCCGGCGCCACGCACAAGTACGGGATCGCCGAGTTGGTGCCAGCAATGAGGCCCCAGGTGAGCGACTGCGTCCAGCTGCGGAGGGCGCGTCAGCAGGCGGGCGGCGCAGGAGGCGCCGCAGCACGCACTCGAAGGTGTAGTTGATCTTGCGCGCCTGCGTGGAGCGTCAGCCGTGCCGCCGCCGCGCAGCGCCTGCACGGCACTCACAAACTGCCACCAGCCGTCGATGAGGAGCGCGTTGCCGTGCTCCGTCTGCAGGTAGCGCGGATCCTGCAGCGTGCTCCACGGCCACTGCGGGAACGTCCAGCGCACCTTGAGCGTGCCCTGCAGGCCCATGCGGAAGCGGCTCTTCTGCGCCATGCTGCTGTCGAAGCCCCAGTGCACAAAGAGCAGCAGCGCGTAGAGGAAGACGTACGTCGGCGTCGAGAACTTGTAGTAGTGCGGCGGGTGCGCGGCCATGTACACGATCGAGCTGCGGCAGGGATGTCAGCCGCTGCGCCTGCCGTGACCCTCGCGCACCACGCACTAGCAGTAGGTAAACGGCACGCCGGCAAAGTTCCAGAAGATGACCATGAAGCCCCACTTCTCGTGGAACATGTCCCACGTCTGCGGGATGCACTCCTCGCCCTTGGCGCAGGCGTTGATGTAGAGGCCGGTGGCGAGCACCATGAAGGCCATGTTCGGCGTCACGTAGCCGTACACCTCGCTGCGCAGGGAGCGTCAGCGAGCAGGCGCACCGCGGCACAGGCACACCACTCACTACTGCTTGCACGCGCCGCTGACGGAGATGAGGAAGAGGAGCACCCAGGGGATGCGCACCTCGGCCCACATCTTGAGGTCGACGTGCCCGATGCGCGGGTTCAGCGCGGCGCCCATGAAGAGGTCGTAGGCAAAGTTGCCGCTCATGCGGTGCGCCGAGTTGGTGAGGACGGCGTGGAAGTACGTGGCGAAGGACACGGCAAAGCCGGCGATCATCGACACGGTCATGTACTCGCCGAAGTGCTCGATGATCTGCGTCAGGCGGTACACGCCCGAGAGGTGCAGCGCCGCACACGTCACGAGCGTGGCGTAGAACGACGAGAGCGCATTGCACTTGTACGTGAGCGTCTTGTAGTTGAGGCTCGGCACGGGCAGGCCCTCCTGCTCGTAGCCGGGCATGACGTACGCCAGCGCGAACTGGAAGAGCATGAGCCCGCCGTAGCCGGCAAAGGCGCGGCGGCTCGGATAGGCGTCGTGGTAGACGTGGGCGCCCATGCGCTGCAGGAACGGCCACGCGTCGTCGGCGCTCTTGGGGATGACGAGCGAGCCGTCGTAGAACCAGAGGCAGATCCAGAGGTAGTACATGAGCACGGGAAAGAGCGTCATCATGGCGGTGACGCCCCACGGCCCGCCAAACTCCCAGCTGCGGCGGTGTGTGTGAGCGCGAGAGATGCGAGGTGCGGCCGCCGCCGTGCGTGTCCGGCCCCTCGAGCGCACTGCTACAGGCAGCCCACGCCCGCCGCACCACTCACTCGTCGTGCAGGTCGAGCTTCTTGTCCGTCTCCTTGCCCTTCTCGCTGATGTTGATGCCGGGCGCGTAGTGGATGAGGGCGCGCTCCTTGCCGCCGCCGACGATCTGCTCGTCGCGCATGTCGACGTTGAAGTAGCCGTGGCGGATGGGGCGGGCGTCGGTGCTGTCGGCGCTGCCCGCGGCGGCGGCGGCGGCGCCGTCGTTGTCCTTGCGCTGCGCCTTGAGCTGCGCGGTGCGCGAGCGCAGCGCCGCGGTGCTGGCCGCGTTCTGCTCGGCGGCGGTCGGCATGGTGAGGGGCGGTGGTGGTGAGAAGGAAGATGGCGCGACGCGAGGAGGAGCGTGGCTAGATGCTCACGGCGCCGCGCGACACTGCTCCCGTGCCCGGCTGTCTGCGGCCGCGCGTCCGCGCGAAGATTCAGCACCGAGCCGGCGCGTGATCCGCGGGAATGCTCCTCGCTCGGAGCGACAGCGAGCGGCAGCGCCAGGCCGGCTGGTCAGCTTCAAGGCTGAGCCTTAGTCATGCTGGATTCCACAGGCACCACCTGCCACAGACTCACTAGCCGCAGGCAGCCTGCAGCAGGGAAACTTGTCTCCAAGCTACACTGCCGCAATGTGGCGCTGCGGCTCCACCCCTCACCCCTCCCTCCTTGCTCCCCTTAGATCATTTTTCATTGCACGCTGGCCAGGATTGCAGCGCTGTTGGTGCTTGTCCCTGCTGCTACCACGCCCACACCTATGCTCATGCTGCAACAAGTGCAACACCCCATTGGCCAGCCTGCTGCTGCGCTTGCATGCAATGCTGTTTTGTGCGCAGTTGACAGAGAACAAGAGCAATGGCGGCAGCACAACAGACAGAGGACCGGCTGTGTCTGGCAAGGCAGCAGGGAAGGCAGGGCCAAAGAGCTAGGGGGAAAGGAAAGGCAAAGGCAGGGAGGTCAATGCATTGAGGCAGCCAAGATGTGTACACCCTTGTGAGCAGGCTTGTAACTTGCACAGACTTGCAGCTGCTGGCGTTCTGTGCGGCTCCCAAGGGTGGCCCAGGCCACAGCAGGCCAGCAACAATGTGCTGGCGCAGTTGTTTGCCAAGGCTGTCTTTGCCATCAGTGCCAATGCAGCAATGGAGACAGAGACTGGCTGAATGCAGCAGGCAAAGTCTGCCCCCTTCAGGCTACACAGCCTGAGCTCAAGATACTTTCCTGATGCACCTTGCCACCTGGTCAGTATGCAGCAAACTTCAACAAGAAGCTCAAATGAGGCATCTGCGCAAGAGGCTTGGCTAAAGGGCATCACAAGAACCTGAGCAGGCATGCACCTCATCTTGCACACGCTGCTGTGCCTCTGTCACACAACCCTCTCTCTACACTGTCACCATTTGCTCAGGGCAAGAGCAAGGCGGCCAAGTGGAATGCAGAGAAGGTAACAGAGGCGCTGTCTCCCTGCTTCAACGCAAACAGCAAGCCTGGTGGTCACAACAACAAGAAGCACAACGTTGTTGTTGTCTTCCCTGTTGTGCCGCTGAGCAACAAGATGAGCATGGAGGAGGCAGTCAAGCATGTGCAGGCCATCACAGAGGACATGCACCCAAAGAAGGCATAAGAAGGGCAAGGCTGGCGCGGCAGCAAAGCAGTCAGAGAAAATAAAGAAGGCGGCTGCTGCCAAGCCTGTACCAGCGCCTCTTGACCACCACTTGGCAGCGGCTGCTGCCAAGCCTGCACTAGCGCCTCTTGAGGACCACTTGGCGGCAGCCACTGCTGCTGCAGCTTGCATGCCCCTGGGGTCTTGCTCTTGCTGTATTGGGCAGCGCTGAGTGGCGCATACAGGCCTCTCATGGAGGAGCTGGGCATCAAGACAATGTTTGAGTCAAAGCTTGAGGAGCTCAAGAGCCACATTGCGTGGTTCCAGGCCTCATTCTGCCTCCTGGCTCTACATGAGGATTGAAGGCTTGCCTTTGCCAATGCTGTCAGCCTTCTCATCTACTGGTGTGCGCACAAGAAGCCCAAATACTCTACCACCGCCACCAAGGCGCAGAAGGAGCTCTGTGACAACAGCTAGGACGCTTCCATTTGCGTTGCACAGGTCAACCTCTACCTCCACGCCGGTAGTCTCATTGCAGATGTTGGGTCATGTCTGTGTCAGGCTGGACAGCACTGTTCAAGTGAGTGGACCATGTAGCGCAGGGCTGCTGAGGAGGGCACTCTGTGTGTTGCACACTCTAGAAGGCCAGATGGAGTGTGATGCTCCTGTCTGAGGCAAGTGCAGAGCCTATGACCTACAGCATGAGTCTGCCGGCGCTGCACTGTGCAGGCAGCTGCCAGCAAACATTGCAAAAAGAGCCAGGAGCTTCCTTGCCTTCTTGCTGGCGCAGCAGGATGCTGCACCCCTTGCTATGGCTTGCTCATTGGCTTAGAAGAGGGTCCAAACCCCTGCATGCTCATCAGCTTGCATGCCTCAGCCAAATTTGACACATGCCTCAGCTTTCCAAACAGCATGGACTTTGCTAGTCATGTGTAGATGCCAGGGGTCAGCCCAAGCAAGGGCAGAAGGGTCCTGCAGAGTTGGTCACTGCCTGCCCTGATGTGTGCCTTACTCCTAACAGTCCAGCGTCAAAGGCTGGCTGCCCACTGCAATGCACCAATCCCTCTCCACTGCGCTCTTGTTGCCTGGCACAACAATTATCAGCCTCCAAACACTGGCAGCAGTGCTTGGCTGCCAGGGCTGCTTTCACCATCTCTTGCTGCTCTTTGAAGGTGCAAACATGTCAAGCTTCTTCAGCCTGCCCCACTAGAGACATCTGCCAATGCCTTGGCAGCCTGGCTTTGGTGACAAACCCTCAGAGCTGCCCTAGCAGCTGCAGATGCAGCTTTCTTGGCAGCAACAGCAGTAGGAAGGTTTGCCGTGCTGGCTGCAGCTTCCTTTGCTGTCCTTGCCTTCTTCAGAGCAGCCTGGTAGCTTGCTTCAGCTGTCAAGTACTTCTTTACTGCCTTGAGGGCCAGCTGCAGGTTGTCAAGAACATGGTGCGTGCACATTGACTCTCAGGCAAGCTTTGAGAGTGCTTGGATGCGCTCCTGATTGACAAGCTTGGACATGGCTTCCCTCTGCTTCTGCCTCTTGCTGCCTCTGATGCATCTGCTGCGCCCAACTTCTTGGCTGTGCTGTGTTGCAGCTGCCTGACAATGTCCTGTGCGCTTGAGGGGCTCTGTGAGTATTGAACAGGCTCACTATGCCTCTGTAAGGCGCTTGCAGAGCAGCACCAAGCGGGGGGTGTTGCCTTGCGCGGGGGCCGCAGCGCAGCGTCAATCACCCCGGGACCAACGCTAGCACTGCCAAAGAGGAGTGTCTTGTCAACGCTGCAGAAGACATTGACAAGACTGGAGTTTGACAGGCTGTGGCAGAATGCCTGCACTGCAGCCTTGCTGAGCTTGACACCCTTGTTGGCGCCAACTGCCTGTTCCAGCTTGTTGTTGCCAGCGCCAACTGCATGTTCTGGCTTGTTGCTGAGGACGTTGCCGTCAAAATCTTTGCCAAGCTGGCGCTCTGCAAATACGTGCTTGGCCTCCTTGTTGGCAAGTACAGCCTGCCACTTGGCAGACTTCCAGTATGCAAGACTCAGCCTCCTCAGCGCCATGGGCCACTCTGCCTGCTCCATTGCGTCTTGGGCAAGCAATGGCTATCTGTCAGGCTGACTGGCAATCTCTCCACCTGCTGTGCGTCCTTGTTTCTTGTTGCTGCACTTGGGCCCAGCGCTTGAATGCTTGGCAGACAGAGCAAATGCAAGCCTGGAGTGCGTCAGGGAGCAAGGGAAAGGCAGAAGGGATGTCATCATCAGGGTATTGAAGGGCCAGAGTCAGGCAAAAGCGCTTATGAGACTGGAGGCAAATTGTTTCACAGCAAGCAGGGCACTAGGACATGTGCGCAAGAGCAGAGACTGCACTGGAGGGATACGCTTGAATCACTTGTGTTGAGCAGGCTTGGTTCTGGCCCTTGCAGCTCCACAAGGTATCACAACAGGGGCAGCAGCAGCCAGCAACAAGACAGCTACATGTTGGCCGTAGCCACAGGCATGTGGCAATTCATGGTGTGCATCAACTGGCGCAGGCCCCCCAGCTGGGTTGCAGTGGCAGCTGACAACAATGCCATGTATCAGCTCTACACAAATTGCAGCCATGCACAGCCCTGGTGGCACAAGAGCCTGGCTTGACAGTGCCAATGCGGCAGCTAATGCCACTGCCATGTGCACCATGGCCAAGGGTCTTGCCGCCAACAATGCTGTCTGCAGCCAGCTTCATGTTGGCCACGCGGTAGGTACAGCACATTGCGCTGTGCATTGAGCTGTGGTACACCTTGCAGTTCTGGCCCTTCTGGCATGCTGGTCTTGGCGCTAACTTGGCACTTGAGCATCTGTGATATGCTGCAGAGCTTGTTGATGCAGTGCCAGCCTTCCTGGCTTTGCAGGTGCTCTGCTACACGCCAAAGATCTCTGCTTGCAGCATTGCCTCAATGGGCCTCTCTGCAGCAAATGTGGCCTGCAACAAGGCAGGCGCCAAGGCGGCTGGTGTGCGCACAGCCCCTGCAGCGCATGCAGGCAATCTGGCAGCCCTGTATGCCACTCCTTCTGCCAAAAAGACTTGCTGGTTGCACTGGGAGCTTGGCAGGGAATGTTGCTGTGGCAGCCACAGCCTTGAGCTTCTTGGCCTTGAGGGCAACAAGGGTCTCAAGAGCAGGCTGGAGGACTTGGCTCAGGCTCATGCCAAAGGCCAAAGAGGCAAGCAAGATCTTATAAATCCATGCTTAGCAGTGAGGCTTGTGCTCTGGCTGCTGCAAGTTGCTGGACAGCGGCACGCTACTGCAGACATTTGCTTGAGGTCTGCAACCAGAGGCAGAGCAGTGTGCAAAGAGCTTGCAGAAGAATTGCTGGACTTGGTAGCCATTTTGCCAGGACAATGTGCTGCCTGCTGTGTGCTGCAGTCCAAGCTTGCAGTGGCAGTGGTGCAGTGTCACGCGTCTCTGCCCACTCTGATGGCTAGCTGTGCTCTGTCTGCTGACAGCAACTACACCTACTGCACCTTGCCTGTTTCCCACTGATACTTGCTAGAATGCTGTCTCACTCTGCAATGTCACACTCACTTTCTCTTTCATTGATCTGAGAGGCAGGAGCAAGACAAAGGGTGATGCCCGAGAGAGAGAGAAAGAGAGAGAGAGAGAGGGAGAGAGAGAGAGAGAGAAAGAGAGAGAGGGCAAGAGTTGCAGCACTCAGGAAGCAGCACCTGATGGGATGTATGCCTTGAGGGAACTGCCCTGCTGCTGCAGCACTTCAACAAAGCATCACTGGCGCATTCCTGCACCATTTTTGTGTGGTGCTAGCTGCGCAAGCAGCCTTGCTGCGGCCTTCAGCTGGGTGTGAGTGGTGCTTCAAAGATGCATTGGTCATTGCATTCAAAGGCACTTGAACAGGTCTTGACAGCCAGGGCCAATGTCAGCCTGCACAGCCTACAGCTCCAACTTGGCAATCACCTGCACCCTCTCTTTGCTGACAAGGTCTGGTGGGCCTTTGGCCTGCCAGATGCCATACATATAGACACCAAAGAGGACAAGGACAAAGAGCACAGCAAGGGGCAGGATGGTTGCTGGGCAGTGGGAATTGAGGTGGGAGGAACTCCTGGATTGCGCCCGCGCTGCTGCAATGCCAGGCGCTGAGAGCTCTGCACCCTTGGCAGGGAAAGGGAGATGCCCTGTTCTTTGGTGCAGCACAATCTCACGCTCCTGGCTGCTGGCAACAGGATTGTAGCTTAGGAGTGTGCTTTGGTGCTCCTGTTGCTGAGCACTGCCACATTTGCGCTGCCACCTGATGGACGAGAGCAAGTGGAGGCGCCCCACGACGAGCGACCCAAGCCACGAGGCGCCGCCTTTGCGCCAGACGAGAGGCGAATCGCGCCGAAGCGCGAAGGCGGCGAGAAGGAGATCGCGGCGAGGCCGTGCCGAAACGCGCGCGCATTGGGCGAAGAAGCCCCACGCTTCACGTCCCACTCGACTCCCACCTCAGCCTCTCCACTCCCGCAGCATGAGCAAGAAGCCCGTCGCAGAGGTGCGCACTCTCACACCTGGCAGCTCATCGCGCCGCTCACCGTCGCGCAGGTCATCCAGGAGTGGGCCGACGCCGACGCCGGCTGGTCCTTCGAGCGCGGCCGCATGGAGACGAGCGTGCGCGACATCTGCTTCGACGCGCCCGCCGTGCTGCCGGCGCAGGCAAAGGCGGGCGGCGCGGCAAAGGTCAAGAAGGAGGACGTCGACTTTCTCGTGAGTGTCCGGTGCGGCGGGTGCAGGGTGCGGCGTGCAGGGTGCAGCGGGCCGCGGGCAGCGAGCGAGCAAGGAGGGCGCGCACGGCGCAGACATGCTCCGGCGCTCGCGACGCAGCAGGCGCCGCTGTTGCTGTGCAGACGGCAGAGTGCAGCCACTGCGGGCCAGTGGTGCTCTGCTCGCCGTCGCTGTGCCGTGTGCTGGTGATCAGTGCTCGCTGCCGGTGCGGCGCTCGCTGCCAGTACGCGCGCTGTGCCTGCCGCCGGCGCCCTCTCCGCAGCCTTGCGCTGCCAACGACGGACCGGCGGCTCGCAGCGTGCCGTGCGACACTGCTGCTTGCGCTCGGATCCGGACCCTGCCCTTGTCTCCGCTGCATCGAGTGCAGGCCGTTGGCGGTAGCGCTGGTGCTGATCGCGCGCACGCTCCGCAGGTCGACGAGCTGATGATCCCGCGCGCCGCGGCCGAGAGCGCACTGGCGGCCGACGGCGGCGATGTGGCCAAGACGCTGCAGCGCCTCGTTGTGCCGCCGCCAAACTGGCCGCAATGAGACGCATCACTCCATCTCGCGGACTGCTCAGCGGCGTGCGCCACGCTCAACGGCGCGACCCTTTCGCACGCGCGCGGCAGCCTCGCCTTGCGCTTCGTGAGTCGCTGTAGACGGGAGCAGACGCACCGGCGGGCACTGTACAGGCTCGATGGACAGCACGCAGGGACACCGCTGCAGCAATCTCGCACGGGCGTGCGCGGCGGTGCGCGCTGATCCTCAACGGCCGGCAACGGCACACGCGCGCGCGCGTCCGTCGCGTGCCACCGGTGCGCCGCGCGCCGCCGCCGGAGACTTGCCTTCGCTGCGGCGCTAGACGACGGTGCGCTGTTCACCGACGGTCACGCATGTGCCAGGCACAGCGCTGTGGAGGCGGAGCGCACGGCCCATCGGGCAGGCGCCTGTGCGCTGCACTGCCCTCTGTGTGCGCCGCGCATGCGAGAAGTTGCTGTGACGTGGGCGCACACGGTGAGCTTTCTCTGCGCATCGCACGTCGCTGTAGACTGTTGCGTCCAGTAGCGCCGTCTACCCGCCGCTCCCCGGGCCCCGGACATTTGCGCCCGCCCGACGAGCGGCCCGGAAATAGTTGAGCCCTGCCAGGCGCACGCACGGCTGTGGCAGAGCTGGGCAGCGCCTCTCCTTCTTCTTCTCCACCCTCACGCTCCTCTCCGTCTTGGTCACTCCCTCGGTCTGTCGTCTCGCCCTATCTCCTTACTCCCTCCAGGCTGCCTTCAGGCAGGTACCAGCCTCGAGTTGTCCTTCCTCCACGCTCTTTCTTCTCCGTCTCTCTGAAGCTTCGCCGGTCTCGAAGCTTTGCGTCTGCGCCGTCATAACTACCCGACTCATCGTTCTCCTCTGCACAAAGACATGTCCGCCTCGCCGCTCATCTCCGCCGTCTCGACTCCGTGCTCCTACGTCTCTCGTCCGCTTCTCGGCCCAGCGCCGGCTCCGCCCAGTGCCATAGCGCTGCTCGAGCCGCCGCCGCTCTCGCTTCTTCCTCTCTCGCCGCCGCATGAGCGCGAGCTCTATGCCTTCGCGGCGCAGGGCAGTGCGGCAGCGCGCTACCGCCAGCGCCTCGCCGAGCAGGCGGCGCTGCGGCGCGCAGCAGAGTGCGGCACACCGCAGGCCAGCGACTCTGATGTCGAAGCGCCGCCGAGCAGCTCGTCGTCGCGCGGCAGCGTAAGTACAGACGATAGCAGTCACTCTGCGTCTACTGCCGCCACGTCTGTTGCCGAGGAGCCGCCGGGCGCAGACAGCAGCGACAAAGCCGTGGCGCCGAGCGAGGCGCCCGAGCCCTCGCCGGATGGCCTCTCGCCGACCAGCGCTCTGGCCTTTCTGCGGCGTCCATCGCGACTTGCCCTGCCAAAGAAATTCTTGCAGGCACGCCGCAGCTCCGCGACAACGCCGGGCGAGGCATGCGATGCGTCCCCGCCGAGTGCACCTCCGGCAGTGGCCCATCCCATGCCGGCGCGTGTGGCAGCGCTTGCTGCGCCTGTCATCTCGCCAGAGACGCTCGCGCTCGTCACGCCTCCGACGTCGCTCGTGTTCCGCTCGGCTGCCGTGGCGGCGCTGTGCCTCGACGTCCCGGCGCTGTCGCGCAGCAGCGAGGCGCATCCGGCCGTGCCCGTCGTGCCGGGAGCGCTGCCAGACTTGTTCCGCTCGCTGGCAGGTGCCGAGCCTGCGCCGCTAGAGTGGCCACTGAGCTGCTCGCAGGTCGGTGCCATTCGTGCGGCGCGCGCTCGCAAGCTCGGCGCCCTGCTGTCGTGCAATGTAACGCCGCCGCCCGCGAGCAGCGACACACCCGCGTCGCCCAGCAAGCGCTCCTTCGGCTGGCTGCGCCGCGGCAGCTTCATCGCCACCAAGGCGCGCAGCGCATCCACGACCGAGACGAAGGGCAAAAGCAAGCTCTCGCTCCTATCGCCCCCTGCCAGTCCTCGCTTCTTGTCTGTGCCGTCGCCTCGACACGCCTGCGCGCCGCAGACGCCCGTCATCGACGATGTCGCCGTCACTTCTGCCCTCGCGCAGCAGGACACCGTCGACGAGGCGCTCGAGGGCCTGACGAGCGCGCTCGGCCGTCTGGACTGGCGTTGGGGCGGCGCCGCCCATGCGCTCTGGGGCGAGGGCTGTGGCAATCGCCACGTTGACGACGATGTGGCACCTGACCAGCGCCGCGTTTCGGAGGCAAGCACTAAGAGCGTCGCGTCGGCGCCCGCCGAGCTGGGCTCGGGTGACAGCTTGACGCCGCTACGCAAGACACCCACCGACAACTCCAAGCTGAAGCGAGAGCGCTCGCTCAATGCCACAACGCTTGAGTCGGGCGGCCTGCTGCCGCCAGGCGCGCCGCCGCTGCAGCACTGGCAGGGCTTCAACCAGGCGTACGCCAGCGGCTCGCTGGACTTGGACCTGCCGCATGACATACCGCGCGGCGTGCCAGAATTTCGCACCTGTCCCGACGCAAGCCCCCTCTGTCCTGGCCCCTACCACGCTCCGCCTCCGACGTGGGAGGCAGAGCGCCTGCGGACCTATTGGCGGCTCTCTGTCGACGACCTGGATCCGGAGCGGCTGCGCCGCGTCTGCGATCTAGTCGACGGATGCGCAGCGTACCTAGGCGTCCCTACCAAGGCGCTGAGCTTCTTCGAGGTCGGAGGCCAAGTGCAACAGCTCACGCGCGAGGGTCTTCAGCCGTTTGAGCGCGAGCGTGGCGCCACGGCGTGTGGTCATGCAGCTCGTGAGTAGAGTCTGCTCCTTGTCTGTGCCTCACTAACTCCACCTCGGCAGTCAACCGCAACAATGGCATCGTCGTGCTCGACACGGAGGGCGACTGGCGCTTCCGCTACCTCACTGCGGACAGCATCCGCTTCTACGCCGGCATGCCCGTGCTCTCCTCGTCGGGTCTGCCGGTTGCAGTCCTCTGCTTCTACGATGTTGCGCCTTGGACTGCCTTTACCACCGAGCAGCGCAACAAGATGCGCGAGACGGCGCGCTGGATCGGCAACGAGCTCGAAGCACACTGGCGCTGCCTGTGGGAGCGCAAGGTCGAGCGCATGGCGTGCAGCTACCGCACGATTCAGGCGTCGCTCGAGGACGTGAGCTGGACGTCCAGAGGTGCAAGCGTGTCGAGGACGCCCAGCACGCCGGGCCTCAGCCGCGGACCCGCGATGCCCATCGGCCCGCCGAGTCCGCCGTCCGGCGCCCACCACGGCGCGCTTGCGCCCGCGCTTACGACGGTGCACAATCCCATCGACCTCGAGGCGCTAGCCGAGCTCGGCACACTGTTCACTCTCGAAGACACTGAGCGGCTGCGCAGCGCATGTGAGACGATTGCGGGCATCGTCGACCTGGACACGGTCTACCTCGCGGCGGCCAAGCTAGACGAGCCATCTCCGGCGGAGAAGCCCAAGCCGGAGGCGCCTATCCTCTCGCCAATGCTCAGCCCCGCCCGTACGGCAGCGGCGAACGGCACATGCACCCTGCTTGCGCAGCATGGCCTGCCGGCCGTCTGGCCTCGCTTCGAAACGACGCTGCACGCTCGCGCATTTACGCGCAGTCACGAGCCGTACGTGCTCTTCCAGAACGCCTGCGGCAAGGGCGTGCCGACGCGGCCGGAGGATGCCGACTTGACCCTGCCGCGCTGCGCCACCGAGAAGAAGACCAAGCCGACGTTCGCAGCCGGCGCCATCGTGCCAATCGCCACGGATACGCAGCTCCGCAGCAAGACGCACATCTTTGGCGAGGCACAGGGATCGGCCCCCGCGACCGTCGGCTACGTGCTCGTTGCCCTTGCTCGCAATCCGCGTCGCGCTCTCGGCGTCGAGGACCTGCGCTACCTGCAGTCGGTGACGCACCTCTTCGAGGCGCCGCTTGAGAAGAGCATGCTGGCGGCGCAGACCGCAGCCGAGCTCTGTGCACCGCCGACTCCGACACCCAGCTCTCTCGCTGCGCCGCCGCACGAGAAACACGCCCGCGCCGGCAAGGGCGAGCTCGCCCGTGGGCTGCTGCACGGCGGTGCGAAGCGCTGCGGCGCGGTCATATCGAGTGGCAGTGCGACAGCGTCGAGAGCCGCAACGGCTGCAGCTGCGGCTGGAGCGCACAAGGCGGCCAAAGCAGCCTCAGCTGGCACGCGCGTCGTGCAGGGCGGCGCCTCGGCCATTGCTGCAACTGTACTCAAGGGCGTCGAAGCCACGCCGCTCAAGGCTCGTCGCGGCGGCGGCAAGGCGGACCTCGTGATCGACAGCGCAGCACGGCCGTCGATGCCGCCTTCTCTGCTCTCGATGCAGTCTGGCCAGAGCGCGCTTTCCAAGTCCTCCGGCGGCTCAGCCCCGACGCAGCTCAAGGGCAAGCGCAGCGAAGGCGAGCTGAACCTCTCTGGACAGGTGCGGCGCAAGATCCTCGGCGCCAAGGCTGCACCTGCCGCTGGTAGCACGCTCGGAGTGCGCCGCTTTGCCTCCAATGAGACGCACCGCACCTGCTCGACCACCAGCAGCCTGTGCGCCTCTGCCGGCGTCGCTGCGGCACTCGCTGCGACCGCTGCGATCGTCCCTCGCGCCGTGCTGGAGGACAAAGTCACGCCCAAGGCCCGGCCGGGCGCGCGTACGCTCGGCCAGCATCTCGGCATCCCGATGCCGAAGCGCAGCCGCTCGTACAGCCACGCGGGAAGCATCACCGAGGAGAGAGCACCGCCGAGCACGCTGGTCGACACTCACGGCGCTTCGTCCACGCCGCCGTCGTGCTCGCCGGCGCCAGTCTTCGTCATGCGCGTCGACGGCGCCTCGGCATTTGAGTGCACGCCAGAGTTCCGCATCCAGCGCGTGGACGGCGCGACGTCGCTGCCACCGCCCTCGCCGCCGCTCAGCCCGCGCTCGCTGCGGCCCACGGCCGAGATGACGCAGCGGCCGCCCAGCCCGCTGGCGTTCCGGCCGATGGGTGCGCTGCCCGGAGGCACGCTCGCCCCGCGCATACGGCCCAGTGTGTCGCGCGCAGCAGGGCCGAGTCAGGCAGCAGGCCTGGGCGTGCCGCCCGCGGCCGTCGCGGCAGTGAGCCCCTGGATCGAGCTGAGCAACATGCCGGCGGCGCGGGCGGCCAAAGGGCTCGGCATTGCACAGTGACAGGCATTGCAATGCTATCTGTCCGCCCTGCAGAGCGCGAGAGGCGATGCTGTGCGAGTCAGAGACGCTGCTCGTGCAGGCGTCGCGGAGGAGACATGGAATAGGCGAGATATCATACATCGGAGACGATGGGAGACGGAGTATAGAGGGGCCCGAGGCGCCCGTGCGCTGCGGCCGAGACGCTGAAGAGGTGCTGGCGAGTGGCTTACAGCTTCGCGTTCTCGGGCATGAGACGCAGCGCCTGCCGGATGCCGAGGTCGGCAAGAATCTCCTCGGAGCCGCCGAGCACGGCGTCCTGGGGGCGTGTGTGAGCAGAGCGCACGAGGCAGCGCGCAACTGAGGCAACTCACAAACTTGGACGTGCGCGCGAACATCTCGATCATCTTGCCCATGCCGCTCTGCGTGAGGCCGCGGCCACCGGCAAGGTTGACGGACACGTCGGCAATGTCGTTGGAGACGCGCGTCGACCAGGACTTGAGCAGCGCGACCTGGCCGGCGAGGAAGAGCGACTGCTGCTTGTAGCTCATCTTGCACATCTGGTACGTCACCGACTCGAGCCAGTTCTGCGCCGCCTCGGCCTCGGAGATGATGCCTGCCAGCTTGCCGCGCACGACGGCCTGGCTGTTGAGCGGCTTGCCGAAGGCCTTGCGCTGCGACGTCCACTCTACGGGGCGTGTGTCAGCATGTTGTGCACTCTCGCCCGCCCACGCGTCGCCACTCACTCATGAGCACCTCGCAGATGGCGCGCGACGAGCGGATCGTCGAGCAGCACATGACCCAGCGCTCGTGGTTGAAGTTGGAGAGCACAATCTGGATGCCCATGCCGTCCTCGCCAATGACGTACTCCGACGGCACCTTGACATTGTCGAACGTCACGTACGCCGTGCCGGCCGTCGTCGAGTACGACGTCTTGATCTGCTTCGTCTCGACGCCGCCAAAGTCGCGGCGGATGAGCAGCACGGCGAAGCCCTCGTCGGTCTGGCAGAGATGTCAGCCCGGTCCTGCGCGGCACACCGCGCCGCTGCTCACCTTGACGGCCGTCGTGAAGTAGTCGGCAAACGTGCCGTTCGTGATCCACTTCTTCGTGCCGTTGACGATGTAGTGGCTGCCGTCCTCGCTCTTCTTGGCAAAGGTGCGCAGGCCCATGACGTCGCTGCCGGCAAAGGCCTCGGAGATGGCGAGGCAGATGAACTTCTCGCCGGCGAGCACGGGCTCGATGACCTCGTCCTTGAGCTTCTGCGAGCCAAAGTTCATCACCGGCGGCAGGCCGATGACCATGCCGCCCTGCAGGCCGTCGCCGAAGCCGCGCGCGCCCATGCGCACGAGCTCCTGCGTGATGACAAGCTCGTGGAAGTAGTCCTGCAGAGAGAGGCGTGAGCAGCTGAGCTGTTGTGGCAGCCACACCCGCGCCACTTACAAACTCCTCGCCCTTGACGCCGGCCATGAGCGTGCGGCCGTGCAGGTGCTTGCCGGGGCCCATGCGCATGGCGTTGATGCCGCGCTTGCCCATGTCCTTGATGAGCTCGACGTCGGGGCGCTTGCCGTTGGCCTCGCAGCGCTGCGCCACCTCGTACACCGTCTCGTCGACGTAGGCGCGCATCTCGCGCTGCAGGCGGCGGTGCGAGTCGTTGTAGTAGGGCGAGTGGAAGTTCTGCGAGAGCCACATGGGCTCGGCGTACGGCACCTTGCTCGGCGCGCCGAGCTCGTCGGGCACGATGACGCTCTCCTCGCCCTTGATGGTGCCGATGACGAGGCGCGAGTACGAGGGGCGCAGCAGCACCTCGTGCAGGTGCAGGCCGCTGCGGGCGTGTCAGCAGGGCGTACGATGCGTCGCGCTGCGCATGCTGCACTCACAAGAACGTCTCGGTGGCCTCCTGGCCGGCGACCTCCTCGTCGTACAGCACGCTCTCGCCACCGGGGTGCTGGCCGGCGGGTCAGCGGCGAGGCCGAGGCGCACACACACGCGCCACTCACGAGCTCGGCGAACTTGCTGAGGTTGTACACTTTGGCATCGATGATGATCCAGAGGTCTCCGGGCTTGTTGTGCTGTGTCAAAGGCGCGTGAGCAGGGGGCGTGTGCAGGCAACGGCCGCGGCGGCGCACCTTTGCGACCTCCTCGCGCGAGAAGGACTTGAGCTCCTGCTGCTTCTGGGCGGCCATGGCGACGGTGCAGGGGTGTGTGGCGGGAGTGCGGGGAAGGTGGTGGTGGTGAGGGGTGAAGCGTGCAGCGCGGCGCCGCACAGCAGAGGCGAGGCGAGGCAGCGTGCAGGCAACGACGAGGAGCGCCCTCTTCGTGCCAGCGCTGCCTGTGCACCCTGACACTCCGACGCCTACGGCGGCGCGCCAGTCACGAGATGCTCGACCGCCGCTCGCAGCGCGCCTCGCTGACAGCGTGCCTTTCCCCGCACTCTGGCCTTGCCGCAGGCACGCCGCCCGAGGCCGAGCCGCCGCTGCTGCCGCTCTCTTCATGCGCGCGCCGTGCAGCGTGCAGCGCCCCTGTTTTCACGCGGGCGCCGCGCGCCGGCCAACCAGCGCCGCGCCATCTCACCGCCGCGCATGCCCCTCCGCCCTCGCTCCTCCCTCGAGGCGCCAGCTTGGTCAGCGCACACCGTCTCGCTAGCCTGCTGCACGTCAACCGCCATGCGCAAGGAGCGCCGCTGGTGCTGGGTGCTGGGGCAGCGCTGCGGCTGCGGCGGACGGGTCGACGGCGCGGCCGCAGCTCGGCAGCGCTGCTCAGAGCCGCGGCTGTGGTCTAGGTGTGCGGTGCCGCGCCGCGCCGGCGTCTTGCGCGGCGCCGGAGCCGACGCGCCACGGCGCTGCTCCTCGCCGTGCCTGGGCGGCGCGCAGACAGGAAGCACGTGACGCCGTCTCGCGCTCCCCTTGGCTGCCTTGTGCTTCTGCCACATGGGCAGCTCTTCCTTGCTGCAGAAGGGAGCGCCCAACAACCAACTCCTAAGGCAGGCGCAGGTGCAGCCCTTCCACCATTGTGATTGGCTTGCTGCCTGGAAGCTGGGTGGCATGCTCACATCCCCACTGCAGCCCATCCTGCGCTGGTGTCACCGCATTGCGCGCTACAAAACTGGCAGCATAGATGGTGACATTTGCAGCGCCCTGTATGCAGCCACGCTCTCAAGAAGCGTGACCTGGCGCATCTAGACAGCGCTGCAATCAGAGGCAGGCAAATCTCATGTGCAAGAATGTCCCTGTGGATGTCAAAGAATAGAATAGAAAGGATGCCAGGTGATTGGCAAGAATTGGCAGCAGCAGTATAAAAATGCGCCTGCATTACTGACAAGGGATGTCAACCACAAGATGATGGGCAAGCAGCCATCATAGCGGCAGTGACCTTCTTGGCATGCCGCCTCACCAAGTGCAGGGGGTGGTTGCAAAGAGGGTGCAGTAGGTTCTAGGCATGATGCCTGGCAAGGTGCGCAGCGCGCTGCTAGAGCAGATGTCAGAGGAGGCAAAGAGGGAGAGGGAGGTGCGTTGCGCAGCAGCTTGTGATTGCAAACTCAAAGCTGAAGAGGCTCTGTATGCCATTGTGCATTGCAGCAGACGCTTGCTGCATCAAAGTGGGCTCTTGGTCACATGATCCTTCAGACGTGTTGCGCTATAGACGTTGCTTTGGACGCAGCGCTGCAGCAGCTGTCTAGCTAGCTACCCCTAGAACTTGCAGCGCTTTGAAACTCTGAATTTGTGCTCTCTGAGACATTTTGCACATGCTGCAAAGATCCAGATTAAGATTGATAGAGGATTAGCCAAGATATAGCATGTTGCACACATTGCCTTAGTCCACTTGTCCATGCTAGCCCCTATATTTGCACCGTTCAACTTTGCACACCTGTTCAGCCGCTATTTCTCTATCAGAGATTGCAATACAGATTTCTGCATCAGGATGGACTAGCACTAGTCAGCCACTCCAAAAGGAAATTGCTTGCAACAAATGGTTTGTCCTCAGCAGCAGCAAATGCAAAGCCATGAATATTGAGGCGCAACGCTTGTAAGGACAACCCAAGACGCAACAGACCCTCTAAGTAGGTGTCCTCTAGCAACGCTCCAGGGAGTAAGGATTCTTGTTCTCCTCATTCTCCTCTATCTGTCTACGCTTTTCTTTTTGCCGTGCGCGCGCTGTGGCCCAATTTTTAAGAGCTTTTGCTGCGCGCTGCCAAAGCCTCTCTGCTTTCTTGTTGGCAAGCCGCTGCTTCCCAGCAAGAGGGCAACCAAGGGCAAAGGCCTCATCACAGAGCTGCTGGCTCCACAGAGGACTTGCTGTGTTGCCTCTTGCTGCTGCTTGCCAAGCGCTCTTCATCATTGCTGCCACCATGGAGGTAGGCCCATGCTGCATCATGCCAAGCTGTTTGCTTTGGCAGACTTCACGCTGCTTGGGTGCGCATGCAGCAGCACACCTGGCCCAGACCTTGCAGCCACCACAGAGAGCTTTGTCCTGGCTACTACTTGAGCCACAGGCCAAGCTCAGCAGCACCTCAGCGCAAGGTGATCAAAAGTTTCCACTTGTGAGGCTTGGCCCTGTTGGCTGTTGCAATCATGCTGTGCAAGCCACAGAGGGCATGCGCCTGCGCATGACTGGTAGCAGGCAACTACTATCTGCTCTTGGGGTGCGCTATGGGCGCATGACATTGTTGAGGTGGTCAGCATCAACAGCCAGCATGGCAACACGTGCATAGCAGTGTGCCATGGCATCTGGTTCAAGTTGGGCATCAAGAAGACAGGCAAGCTCTGCAAGTGTGTTGCGCGCATGTCTTGTGTAGCAGTCATCAATAAGCTGCAGCACCAAAAGATTTGCATCTTCTTCCCAGTGGCAAATGATGTAGGAAAGAAGGACAAGCATGGTCAGACAGTTGAGCACATTTTTGATGCAGTGCAGGTGGAAGATGCAGGTGTTCTCATTTTCCTCTTTGACCACCCAGAGGAGGCATGGGCAAAGACTGCTGCTGCTGTCACTTTGACAGACACAGATGCGCAAGCTGCAATCCTCAACCTTGCTGCTGCATTTTCACCATTGCGGCCTATATTGCGTGCCACCTCTAGTGCTGCACAGTTGGACTTCATCCTGCTGTCTTGGCGCTACTGCATAAGGGCAAGGACAGCTCATTGCTTTGCATTTTGTTCTTGTCCACCAAAGCGCTGTGCCAGTGGCGCCGCCGGCGCAGGCCAGGGCAAGAGCAAGAGTGGCGGCAAGTGCAAGGACCAGCATGCAGAAGATGACGTTGTTGCCAATGCCGCCAAGGACTCTGAGGGCTCTGAGGCCCCCTTCAGGTTCTGCAAGCACCACAAATGTGCCTCAGGCAGAACTCCAAGGCCCAAATGTTTAGTTGCCCTCCTTGCCGCTTGCTACCAATCTCAGCGCAGCATTTGTGTACATTTTGCGCAACATGACCCATATGCATGTGATGAAGCTGATCTCATCTGCGCACAGGGGCACGTGGCTTGCTGACTCTGGACCCTGCCCTAGCGCTGCCTTGCTTGGATTGCTCTTGCAGCACCAAGAGCGTGGCAATCAAGCAGTTGTTGCGCATCTCCCAGAGGCAGCCCAAACTCATCTGCCAGAGCGCCTCACATGCCTCTTGCTACCCCCACCTCCCATGCTCTGGTGCTCTCTTTGCCCTCTATTCAACGCGGCATGCTTGGTTGGCATGTCAATTGACAACCCACTCACCAACCAGCAGCTGCATGAAGCGCCACATTGTCACATGACCTGGACCTCAAGACCCCTAGGCAACTCCATTCAAGTACATGAACTCCTGCTTGGTATGTAGATGCGCAGGGAGATTTAGCAGCATCATCATGATTCTGCCAGCAGAATGGGCAGATGTGTATATCCCTGTGTGAGCAGGCCAGATCAGCGTTGTATCACACTTGCTCTAGAATGCTTACTCACACTTAAGCAGCTGGAAACCAATGATCAATAGTGCAAAGGAAAGATTGAGCTTGCTCTCCTCCCAGCCTGCCCAGGCCCTGCTGTTGCAGAAGTTGCAGGGCTGCCCTGGCATGCGCGGCATTGAGTAGGCACAGCAAAGCTCCCCATTGACGCCCAATTGCATGAGTAGGTGGGCAAGATATGCTACCATTGGGTACATGGCAATTAGCAAGCATGGTTGGCCAAGCTCTGGGTCCACCTCACTCTACATTGTGCTTCTGGGATTGCGCAGAGTCATGCCTGCCACAGGACTCCTGCGCTTCCATATTCTTGCCCAATCAAGCACAGCTGGCCAAGTGCCTTGTCACCAATCTCATGCATGCAGCGGCAGGACAGGCATGCCAGACACTTTGCACTCTCTGCTGCTGGCACATGCCAAGCAGATGCTTGAGAGAAAGCGCAGCAGGGCATAGACATCTGCTGCTTAATGCTTAGAACAGCCCCTCTAAGCTCACTCAACAGAGGCTAGATGGCCTTGAAGATTCTTTACGTGAGTGGATGTACTGCTGGTCTGCCTGCAGGGGCTTCAATTGAGCCAGCTGTTCCAGCCATGTCTTTGATACTGTACTCCCTTGCCATCTCTCCAATGCCTATCATCATTAGTCATGTAGCAGTATGTTGTCTCTCACTCCTCATGCTGCACCTCAGCACCAGGTGCTACCACTTGAGATGCGCTGGTCCATCTACAGTATCAACAGCTGGCACTCCCAGCAGTGCCTTGAGCACTCCAGTGCGCCAGGAGCGTGCCAAGAAGCTGCGCTCAGGTGACAGAGAGGCAGAGTACATGTGGATCTGGAGCTGGGGAGAACAAGGCATCTCTTGCCTGCAGCCTGAAAGCAAGAAGCGGCATGGCTGCTGCACGCAGGCAGCGGCTGAAATGAGATGATGATTGAGATCAAAGGGCGCCACATGCAGCACAAGACTGCAGAGTGAGCAATGTGTGGTCACAATGTGCGCAGCAGTTGCCCTCAGAGGGGGGATGAGCATGTGCGCCGCATCCTTTTGCACCACTACCACTCTGACCACCTGCATGCCGTCCTGTAGCGCGGCTGAGAAGGTGAGCGCTGCAACAGCCGCTGCTGACCGCGCCTGGCGCAACTATCTGCTTGTTGTGCGCCGCATGCCAGACTTCACTCAGCCCTTTGGCATCAACCTTTGATCTCAGAGCGTCAACTTCCAATCCCACCTCAAGCGCAGCAGCTTCAAGCTCCCTGCACACCTGCTCTGTAGTCCTGCAAAGTTTTGACGCTCCTTTGAGCAGACAATGGCGCACCGCCCTCTGTTTGCAGGAGCGTGGGCAAGAGAGAGCCCAGCAACTGCGTTGCGTAAGCAGCCTGGTGGCCTGCACATGTCAATGCTGCAGCAGATTGCGTCTCAGCAGCAGCAGCAACGTCTGTCAGAGGGTGCTGGCAGAGTCTACATGTCACTTGACACAAACAAGCAGGTGCATTGCTGCGGCGTTCTTGCACCCCATCCCCCTCTGCTCACACGCAGCTGCAGCGCTACTTTGGTCAGGCTGGGAAAGTCAAGACCCGTGCCACAAGCAGCACATACATGAACGCACGCTGCTGTGCCGCCGGCAATCTTCACTCCACATCTTGCACGTACCTTCTCTTTGAGAGCAACAAGGAGGATCAATGTGTCCAACAACACTTGAACATGTTTGTTGATGCGTGCCTCAAGTTTGCAGTGCTCCCACCTTCCTGCTTTGCTACCTGTTGTTCTTGCCAAACCAAGTTTTACTGCCACCATCATTGCTACTGCTGCTGGTGCACACGCACAGAGCAAGATGGGATGGCTACATGTTCAGGTGTTGTCAGCAAGAGGCATGCTAGCCAGCAGACCACAGGCAATGCAGCCAACTTTGATGCCGCGCTGGCACTTCTTGCCAGAGCTGGATAGCAAGGAAAAGCTGCACTTGCTTTGCTTATCAGCATGGGTTGCTGAGGTCCAAGCTGCTTGCTCAGTTGTGGCGCAGGCTGTTGAACTGTGGCCACTTGTAGCAAGACTTGAACCAGGCAAGCAAGCGGCACAACAGGCTCACACAACAGGCCCAATAACACAGGGCCACAGCATCATGCACACATCTCAATCACTTCCACTTGTCCCATGCGCCAAAGTTCTGCTGAGCCTCCTTATTTGTCTTCTTGATAGCGGCAGACACTGTTGCTGCCAAGGCTTGGGCAGGCTGCTGGCATGCAGGTGCAAGCGCAGGACAGGGCAGGCCACAGGTGCTGGACCTGCGTCTGCTGGCAGCCTATCTGCTTGCACAGTTGCTGCGGCTGGCGCCGGCGTTGCAGCTGCTGCTGGGTTTGGCGTGGCTGGCAAGGGTGCTTGGACCTGCGCTTGGTCCACCTGCGCTCTACTTGCCTGCACTGCTGCCTGCAAGAGCCTCTGCAACGTTGAGATCCGTGCTGTTGCCCTTATTTTTGCGCAAATCCCAAGCAACACTCATCTCCCCTGATGTGCAAGGTGGTGGAGCAAAAGGAAGACAAGGAAAGGAGTTGTGCTTGCGTGCACGTGACATCATTTGGTGCATATGCACCAAATGACGTCATGCTTTCTGGCCATCTGGCAGAGCAAAAAGGGAGGCAAAAGGCCACAACGTACGCAGCTGAGGACATCATCTACATATTGAAGTTGAGCGCTTGACTTGCAAGCTGACGGCTGAGGGGTATGCGTCTTTGTCAATAAAAATTGCCCAGAAAGCCAGCGCAGGATATGGGACCAGTACGCAGCAGCTTACTTGAATTGAAAACCGCAGGGGTGCCAGAGTTGCATGTTCTGTGCTAAAGGCACCCTGAGTGGCGCAAGGATTGCTCCAACACACACGCGCTCCAGGCCAGGCGCGCGGTGTTGCCCACTCCAGCACTTCAGCTAGAGAGAGGAGAAGGCAGATGTGGCCAGCAAAATGCTTGGCAAGGGCATCCAAAGAGAGCACAGTTGCTGACATGGCAGTGCAGAGCATGCTGACAATGGCAAAGCTGCATGGCATCAGCACAATGCGGAAGAGCAAGGAGCAACAGCCTACTCACTGCATGACCGCAGCAGATATGGTGTGTGTGTGTGGCAGTTGGGTAAGAGGGCTGCGCGTGTGCAGCAGCCACCTCAAGGACGCAGCAGTCTGCTTGAAGCAGACAGCATGCGTGTATGGCAGCAGCAGTGTGCTGCAGCAGCGTGTGGCAGCACAGCCAGACTTGGGCAGATGAGGACAAGTGCGCTGCAGAGCAGAGCAGCAGAAAAGGCAAAGCAGGAGATGTGTATCAGAGGCAGGGAGGCAAGTGGTGGCTGGGACAGGCATGCAACACAACACAATGTGGAGGCACCTAGATGTGCTAGTCCAGGTATGTAAAGTGCTGCTGCTCCCAGAACTCAATGCATTCACTGCAACTGCGCCCACCAGCCCTGCACTGCAGCTGCCCAGATTGGAGTGCAGGTGACTGTCATGCTGCTTGGCATCTTGCCAAATGAAGCCTGCCAGCACTGGCTGCGCAGGCAAGCCAGCTCTGGCAGCGCAAGGGGAGCAGCGCCCCTTGCAGAGCAGGTGCGCATCTTGGCATCTAGCAGGGTTGTCTTGCCAGCGTGTACATGATGTCAGTCAACAAGACAAGTGCAGAGCTTGGCAACAATGCGGTTGGTAAACATGTGGGCTGGGTTGCGCAGCGCTTGCTGGATGCTGTCTTGGAGCCATCAACAGGCAGTGGCCCTAACAGGCAGTGGCCAAGTATGCTGCACCGCCAAGCAGGTCTGCTGGGCTCAAAGCAATGACAGCAGCATTTGAGAGCTGGCACAGGTGCTGGAAGTGGGCATTTGCAGCTGCTTTCCAGGTTGGCATCAGCATTGACTGCCACCTCCTCTAGTGGTTCTGCAAGGTGCCAAGAGCAACTGAATCTGTCACAGCTTCAGCGTCTGGGACATCAATGGCAGTGGCAACAGGCAGCTGGAGCAGCCAACTGCCTGTGGTGTGTCCATTGCCAGGCCCTTTGCCATTGACCAAGACGCAAAGCGCAGGGCGGCTTTACAGCAGGCAGCCGCTGCCAGGCGGCCTTGTGATACCCTTTCTTGGTCTGCAGGGCAGCTCAAGCACTCTGCATGTCCTTCACGCCCTACATGTCAAGCAGGAAGCCCAGTATTCTCACTCTTGACTCAATGGTCCGCCTGGCGGCCTTCTCAACTCAGTGGACTGCCTGGCAGCCTTCTGTTCTCTGTGCTGCTATTCCGGTGGGAATTGGGTTCTGGCAGGCGGCAAGTGGAACTTGGACTGCATGCCACTGGCAACTGCTTTGCAGGGTGATGCAAAAGCAGGCCTCATCACCAGCAGCAGCTTCTGGTGAAGTCAATACCTGTTCATCTGGTCTCACTGGCTGCATTTCTGTCTTGCTAACATGCCCCTGCAAATGTCTAGAAGTGCAAGCTAGCGCAGAGGGTTGCCTGCAAGCGCCAGATGCATGTGCAGCAAGCGCACATAGCCCCTCTCTATGTCTGGCATGTGCAGAGAGCGCACATGGCCCCTCTCTATGTCTGCCCTGGCTTTGATTGTAGCATTAGCGTGAGCTGGAGGCCAAAGCAAGCACATAATCATCCAACTGTACGGCCCTGTGGGGTTAAAGCAGCTTCTCTGTTCTTTGCTTGTGGCCAGACACAGGCAGGACAGGTGGCAGCGCACAGGCTGCGCAGGGAAGCCTGGCTGGCAGGCTTATAAGGGAAGCCTGCACACTTCTGTGCTCTTGCCACTGCACCTCCTGGCCTATTCATCACTGCTAGCATTGTCTCCTACACAATGCCAACTTTTGTGAGCCCAATGCTCTTCAAGCAGTGGCTCACCAGCAAGAACCTGGCATTTGACGTAAGATTGCGCTTGTTTGCACTGTTGTCAGGGGCGCCATTGCTGCAGGCATGCCAGTAGGCGAAAGAATGAGCAGTCCAAGGCACTGGCTGAGCAGCACAGCGCATGTGGCAGAGTAGAAGGATGTGCAAGGATCTGTGGCAGTGGGGGTGGGGCCGGCCTGCAGCAGCTTGCGCGCTGCATGGGGGAGAGTAGCTACTGCAACAATGGCAGCAGCAGCACTGTCCTCTGCTCTGTGGACAGCTGCAGCGCTGTTGTCCTCTGAGGCCATGGATGCAGATGCTGTCAGGCTGCGCTGATTGCACAGGTCAATAAACACGCAAATGTTGCCAACAAGCTGCTGCGCAGACCAATGCAGATCTGGTTGACATGTGTGCGCAATGGCTCAGCTTGGGCATGTCCCTGTTGGAGTTGCAGCTCCAGCAGCAAGAGCAGAAGTAGCCCTGTGCTTGGCGCTCCCATCATGTGCAAGAGCATGGGCAAGTCAGTCAGGAGCAGACTACCAGAGGACAGTGAGGCACGCTCAGCCCCCAGTCATACATCCCTGCAAGTTGTTCTGAACCTGACCATGCTGCAGGACTAGCTATAGCAGGCCAAAAGGGGCGCAGTAGTGTGCAAACAGCCAAGGTTCAGGTGCAATTGCTAGCTGTGCCACACGCCCAAGGGCCTATGACAGTGCATGCAGACTGCTAAACTTGCATTCTGAAGGAGCTGGCAAGCAACGGTGCGCACAATTGTTCCAAGCGCGTGGCACAGAGCCCAAGACGTCGGCTTGCCTGCTGCGTGAGGCGCTCAGCCTGTCCGGCTTCCCGATGCCTCCTCCGATGGCGGCCGCCGGCCCCTCGGCTTGCCTGCCGCGCGACACGCTCGGCCTGCCCGCCTTCGCGATGCCTCCTGCATCCGCTGCCGGCGCTTTGACACGCCCGACGCTCGGCCCTCTCAGCACGGCGCCTTTGCTGCCCTCCGATGGCCGTGCCCGACTCGAGCGATTCGCGCAAGCGCACCGAACGTGCCTCACCCACGCCCTCTCCTCCCGCCAAGCGTGCGGCGCAGCAGCCGCTGTAGCACCAGCGCCGCAGGGCGCGCCGTCGAGCGCCTGCGCGCAAGCGCGCCGCGCCCGCTCAGCCCACGACGTCTTCTCTTGATCACGCGCTCCGCATCAGCGTCGAGCACCTTCTGTACTATGAGCCACCCACTGTTCCGCCTTGTACTTTGTATCTTGTTGACAACGACGGAGGTGTGAGGCGGCAGGGGCCAAGCGACGGGCGCAGCAGCTCGGCGGGCGCGCCTCGGCGGGCGTTTCGGGGCGCGCGCAGCCGTCGCGCGGCGCGCAGAACGGCGGCAGGGTGCCGTTCTGTGCCCACGCGTAGAACAACGCCCTGACGTCGCTCTGGCAAGCGCTCGAGTCAGAGATTCCGCGCGCATGATGCTCTCTCTTGCCGAACGGCGCAGAGACATTGCCGGTGATGCGCAGCCTGCTGCCAAGAGTGAAGCGAGGGCTGCTGCAGCGCGCGAGAAGGAGAGCGCACAATGCTGCGCGAGCGCTGCCGCAGCGCGAGACACGGCAGCGAGAAGAGACTGCATTCCATTGAGCTGTGCTGCTATCTATGTGATCGCCGCCGCCGACTCATGCTCTGCAGATCAGGCCCTCTTCGTCGAGCTGCGGAGGAGGGTAGTGAGCAGCGATTCCCGATGTGCAGCGGGCGCAACTCACCGCCATGAGCTGCGCGCCGGCGCACCAGCCCAGCTCTGACCCGGCGAGCTTCTTGGCGACGGTGACGGAGCGTGCCGGACTCAGGTCATAGCCGAGGCTGAGGAGCGCGTGCTGGAAGGTGAGGTCGAGGCAGTACTCTGGCCGGTCGCGCAGCTCGGCGAGTGCGTGCGGGTACTTGTCGGCGGGGAAGCGCTGCGCCCACGTCTCGGGCGGCGAGCAGACGTCCTCGGCGAGCTTGGCGAGCGTCTGGATGCTGAACGTGCCGTTGAGGCCGAGCGGCTCGAGGCGGTCGTAGAAGTACGAGAGGGCTACGATGGGCGAGTCGGTGAAGGACTGCATGAGGGATGGCTGGTAGACGCCGGCGAAGCTGCACGGCATCTGTGCGCACGAGCTGGCGGGAGGTGCGTCAGCAGATGCGTCCGAGACGCCTGCTGCCCTGCAGGGGCGAGCGACGCCTGCTGCTCTGCAGAAGCGAGCGAGATCCACAGCACTCACGCGTCCTTGTCCATCATGACCTCGACGAGCCGCCGGCACGCCGCAAACCCGCCCGTGCTGCCGACCAGCTCGACGTCGACGTCGCCCTCGAGGCCGGGCACGACGACCTGCGCGGCCTTGGACGTGCCGAGCGCAAAGCACGGCGACGGGATGCGCGGCTTGCTCGCCGACGTGCCGTTGAGGCCGTTGCCGCGCGCCGGGCCGAGGTGCACCGCCGCCGGCCGCGAGAGGGCGTGGCTGAACGTGGCGAGCGCGTTGATGCTGCGGCGCGCCTGCATGAGGCCGTAGCCGAGGTACGAGTTCTGGTAGAGCGTATACGAACGCCCGCCAAAGTCTGGGCCGGGCGTGAGCCGTGCGCATGGAGCTGGGGCCTGGCGCACTCACCGTTCAGCGTGTAGACGTGCGCGCCCGGCGGCATCGGCCCGCTGCCCGGTGTCGGCTCAAACACAATCTGCGTGCTGGCGCCGCCGAGGTCCATCACCGCGGCCGTCTTTGGCGGCGCGTCGGCCGGCCCGCCGGCGCCGATGCGGTTGAGCAGGTAGTTGACGGTGATCCACGCAAAGACGCCCTCGTCGCGGCCCTCCATGATCTGCACGCCCTTGCGCTCGCCGGCGCGGCCGTCGGCGATGGGAAAGGGAAACTCGCTCTCGAGCATGTGGCGCACGGCGGCGAGGATGTCCTGCGCCTGCTGCGCGCCGAGCAGGCGCAGGCCGGCCGTCGCCTTGACGGAGATGGGCGTGCACTTCTGCAGCGACGCCGGCACGGCCCTGAGCGCCGTGACCAGCAGCGGGCGCAGCGAGTCGGCGGCGGCCGATGGCCGTCCGTTGAAGGACGAGAGGCCGCCCTTGATCATCTCAAAGACTTCCGACTCGAGCTCGGGCGCGGCGTTGCAGTAGTTGAACTGCGCATGGGCGTGTCAGCAGTGCCAGCGCAAGCAGCCGCGCAGTCGGCAGAGCTCGGCCAGCGCCAGTGGCAAGCTCTCTTCTTGCGCTACACACCTTGTACACGTGCACCCGGCTGCCCGTGCTGCCCGCATCGATCATGACGCCGTACTGCACGACGGGCCGCGGGTTGCCGCGCGCATCGGTGAAGCGCCCGCCGTTGTCGGCGCAGCGCGTCGTCCGGAGCGGGTCGGCGTGCGGCGCGGGCGGCGCACGCACGTTGGCCAGCACGTCGCCGGCGGCGCCGCCGCGCCAGGCGCTGCCCCAGTGGAGCTCGGGAATGGCGAGGCGCTGCATGTCGAGGTCCTGCACGCGCTCGTTGGCGGCGACCCAGGCGGCGCGCCCGCGGTCCTCGACGTAGCGGCGCGTGGGCGAGAGGAGGAGCAGCGCGGCGACGCCGAGCGCCAGCACGAGCAGCACGAGGCGCCGCGGCGAGAGCGGCAGGCGCGCCATGCTCTTGGCGGGGCGCATCAGCGACGCGGCAAGCAGGCCGGCCTCGGCCGAGACGAGGGCGAGCGAGTCGGTGCGGCGCGACGACGGGCCGGGCGAGGGCGACGGCGGCGGCGGCGGCGACGACGACGACGGCACGCGGGAGTACGACGACGGAATGCTGGGCACGCGGCGGCGCGAGGCTGGGCGCCGGCAGCGCACGCCTCTGCGGGAGATGGGTGGGCGGGCGGCGGTGCGGCGGCGGCGAGTGGCCTGGCGAGAGGTGGAGCGGCGGACGGTGGTGGTGAGAAGCGCGAAGGCGAAGCGGCCCCTGGCGCGCGCGTGTCCTGCCGCGCCGCGGCGTGCCGGCGGCTGGCGCGCGGCGTGGCTGCGCAGCGCTGCCAAGGCACCGCGCGGCGATGCGTGCGCTTCTCAAAGTCTGATTGCGCGCAACACTCGCCCCCTCCACACACATGCGACAAGCTACAGATCGTGATGGTTGGGCAGGCGCGGGACACATGCGGGCACAGGCGGGAGTGGAGACGAGGGGCGCGCCGCGGCAGCGAGGCGCAGCGGCAGGGCAGGGCAGGCGCGGCGCCTAGCCGACGTGCGGTGCAGTCCAGCTGAACGACTTGAACTCGGCCTGGTCCTGGTCGCTCAGCACGCTGTGCACCGGCGTCAGCGTCGGCTTCTCGCTGGTGAACTGTGGGAGAGCAAGTCAGCACTGTGCAGAACCCGGCCTCTTCAGCACCGACGCACCTCCGTGTCGAACCAGCTCGTGTCGCTGGGGTTCTTGAGCGTCGGGCAGAACGGCGGCGGCACGCGCTTGTGGAACATGTCGTCCCAGTTGACGTCGCGGAAGAAGGGGTGCGCCTTGATCTCCTCGGCATCGTTGGGGCCCGAGCCGAGGCGCCGCGCGGGGTCGCGCACGAGGAGCTGCAGGCGGGGTGAGTACATGCAGGGCATGGCAGGGCAGCATTGCGGCCACGCATGGCACTCCTATCGCATCGCTCACCTTGTGCAGGATGCTGACCGAGTCCGGCGGCATGTGGATAGGGTACAGCGGCTCGTCCTCGAGGATCGCATCGAAGATCTCGTCCTCGTCGTCGCCGCGGAACGGCGCCTGGCCGAGGAGCATCTCGTAGATGAGAATGCCAAACGCCCACCAGTCGACGGCGCGCCCGTAGCGCTGCTCGAGGAGGATCTGGAGTGCGGTGATCAGCGAGGGGGGTCTCCGAACATGGCCCGGGCGTGACCCACCTCGGGCGCCATGAACTCGGGCGTGCCGCAGAAGGTGCTCGTCGTGTTGCCGTACCACATCTCCTCCTTGCACAGGCCGTAGTCGGCGACCTTGACGTGACCGTCGAGCGTGAGCAGGATGTTGTCGAGCTTGAGGTCGCTGTGGGGCGTGTGAGCATCGGACGACACACGTGCGGCGCTGCGCCACCCACCGGTAGATGATGCCCTGCTTGTGGAAGTATTCGAGCGCCAGCAGCACCTCGGCGGCGTAGAACTTGGCGCGCCGCGGCGTAAACTGCTCGCGCTGGATGTGCAGCATGAGGTCGCCGCCGCTGACGTACTCCATGACAAAGTACACACGCGTCTGCGTCTGGAAGCACGAGTGCAGCCCGAGCAGGAACGGGTGGCGCTCGCGCGCGGCGGCGAGAAACACGCGCTTCTCCGACTTGGTGCTGCGAGGGAGTCAGCTAATGCTCTGCAGACCTGCCACTGCACGCACCTCTCGACCTCGTCGTTCTCGATGATGAACTCCTTCTTCAGCACCTTGATGGCGTACAGGTAGCCGCTCTTCTTCTCCTCGGCCAGCATGACCTTGCCAAAGTTGCCCTTGCCCAGCACGGCGAGGAAGTTGAAGTCGTTGAGGCCGATCTTGCGCTTCGACGACGCCACGTTGCGCGCCGCCTGGTCGGTGCCGAGCGTGGCCAGCGACGTGGCCGAGTGGGCCGGCACGCCCATCGGCGGGCGCGCCACGACGGCGCCGGCGCCCGCGGCGCTCGAGATCGACGACGAGCTCGACGGCGCCGCAGAGTGGCGCAGCTCGCTGCCCGGCTGCTGCGGCAGAGGCCGTGGCGGCTTCGACGCAGCCTGCGAAGAGTGAGTGGCAGGGCTGGAGTGCGGCAGGAAACGACTCACGAAGGCATCGGATGGCGCGGCTGATGCCGGCGGCGGCGCGGGCCGGCCGCCCATCGGCCCGGCCTGCGCTGGCGGCTGCTGCTGCTGGAAGGCCTGCTGCGGCGGCTGCTGCGGGTATGCGGCGGGCGGCGCGCCCGGCCCTTGCTCGAGGTGACCGCGACCGAGGCCCATCTGCGCCGTCTGCTGCTCGAGGCCGGCCATGCGGCCCTCGGGCGCAGGCGCAGGCACGCGGCCCACTGGCGGCCGGCCGCCGTTTGCCGGCTGCTGCATCTGCTGATGTTGCTGCTGCGGCGGCGGCGGCGGCGGCTGGTACGGCTGCGGAGCCTGCGCCTGCGCCGGCGCGGGTGGCCGCTGCTGGTACTGCTGCTGCACAGCCGGCGTCGACGGCGGCAGCGCGCCAAAGGACCCGCTCTGCGGAGTCTTGGCGGACGACTTGACGCGGTCGATCGCCTCCATGTCGGCGAGCAGCTGGTTCGCGAGCTCCATCGACATGCCGCACAGGTCCGGCACAAGATGTGCGCAGTCGCTGTGCGTGGTAATGTCGCACTCTGCAGGGAGATGAGTGAGCGAGGGGTGAGAAGCGCGCGCCGCGCCACTCACCCGTGCACTTGCGCGCGTTCTTGCGGCCAAGCGGCAGGATGTAGCCGCAGTGGCAGCACCAGTTGGCGCCGATGTTCGTGAGCGGCACGAAGCGGTGCGGGATGCGGTGCTTGATCTTGACCTCGTCGCGGTCCTGCGTGGACGTCAGTGTCCCGACTCATGAGACCTGTGCTGCTGCGACTCACCGCCTCGGCGTTGCTCTTGCTGATGCACTTTGTCACCACCTTCTGCGCGCACTTCTTGTGGCACGTGTACCGGCAGTCCTCGCACTGCGAGCCGGCGGCGTTGAGCAGCAGCTCGCCGCAGAGGGCGCAGCGGATGATCTGGTAGAACTGCCGGCTGATGAACTTGTGCCCGTTGATCTCGGCGACGTCCTCCTTGCGCTTGCGCACGGCGCCCTGGCGGCCGAGGCGCGCGTCGTACGGCCGCTTGCGCACGTTTTGCTTGACAAAATTGAGCCGCAGGAAGATGGCGCCCGCTGGCTCGACGGCAAACCACGCCTCGACGCCTTCTGAGGTCGGGCCCAGCGGCACGGGCTGTCCGGCGGGCCCGTTGTGGAAGGACATGTCCTGCCCGCTGCCACCGCCGCCGATGCCGCCCGCGCCGCCGCCATCGGGCGCCTGGCCGACGTCCTCGGCCGTGACCCAGCCCGCGGCGCCGGCCGGGTTGCCGTGGAAGGTCGCCACCTGGCCGAACTTCTTCTTGCGCAGCTCCTCGACGATGTCCGAGATGCGGATCCACAGCATGCCGACGGGCACGGGCATCGACGTGCCCACGCGGTCGTACACCGTCACTTCGATCTCGTTGGCATTGTCGACGGCCACCTCAAAGTCCTCCTGCCAGCGGTCGGTGCGCGACGGGTGCGTGCGCGCCCGCGGCGTGTCCTCGACCTTGACGACGACGGTCGACTCGCGCACGCTGCGCCCGATGCGCGGCGTCGGCGTGTGGTCAATGTCGCGCGCGCTGCGCACCGAGACCTGCAGCGTGCCCGAGAGCGGCTTGCGCAGATTCGGCCGGCGGTCCTCCGAGCCTGCGGTGGGGGTTAGGCGCAAGCGGGGCGCGAATCACCGCGCCACTCACCGTCATCCTCGCTGGCGTCGTCCATGACGTGCAGCTGCTTGTAGCGCTTCAGGCTCTGGCCCAGCAGCATGATCTTCTTTTCGCTCTCGACGCGCTTCGACTCGGCGTCGTTCTTGCTCTTGCGGTCGCCCTCGACGCTGTACAGCTTGGCCATCTTGTCGATGCCGAGCTTCATCTGCCGCTCGATCTGCAGCTTGAACTCGAGCTGGTGAAGCATGCGCGAGATCTTGGCCGTCGTGTGCGGCGTGTCGTACTTGATCAGATCTGCGGCAGGGCTCAGCGCGGCGACAGCACAGCACGCCGCACGCGCTGCTCACCCAGATTCGTGTACTGCTTGCGCGCACTCGTGCCCATGCGGCCGATGGGCGCCGGGCGCCAGTCGGCGCTGCCCTGCGGCGCATAGCCGGCGCTGCCCGGCGGCCCGTAGCCCGGCTCGGCGCCGTGCTTGGGCGGCGGCGCGGGGCGCTCCTCGTAGCGCGCGCTGCCCGCCGAGCTGCCGAGGTAGCTGCTCGAGCTGTCGCCGGGAAACTGGCGCGCGCCGGGCGCGCTGAGGCTGCCGAAGCTGGCCGTCGATGCGCCCGTCCAGCTGGAGCCGTCGGCGCCACTGGCGGAGCCGGGCGCGCCGGACGAGGCGCTCGACGGCACGCCGCTGCTGCGGCGCCCCTGCAGGCTGCGCAGCGACTCTTCGAGGTAGGAGATGTTGCGCTGCGCCTCGCGGATCTGCGCCTCGGCGTTGCGGATCACGTCCTGGTTCGACGTGAGGCCGCGCAGGTTCTGTGCGGCCTCCATGTGCTTGCGCTGCACCTGCACGCGCGCCAGCACATCGGCGATCTGCGCCGAGGTCGAGTCCTGCGGCAGCGCTCAGCAGGAGCAGCAGGGGTCAGCGCAGCAGACGACTCACCGCCATGGCGAGAGAGCGGCAGCGGGCGCGAGGTGCCTCGACGAGGCCGTCAGAGGGCGCGCTGAGAGCGCCGGTGCGGGGCACGCGCGAGAGACGGGCGCGCGCGGAGCAGCCGGCGGCGGCGCACGCGGAGCGCAGACGGCGAGACGAGGAGCGGCCGGTGTGGCGGGCCGGGTGCGCGAGTGCGGTGTGTGCGACGCGGCGAGGAGAGGATGTGGTCGGGCCTCAGGGTGTCGGACGCGGCGCTGGTCGGGTGTTGCGGCGGTGCGGCGGAGAGCGCCGAGCTCGCGGCGGCCGCCGGCTCATGCGCGACGGCGGCGCGCGGCGGCGTGCGGGCGAGGCGGCGCTGGCGGAGCGCGCGCGTGTGATGCAGGGGCCTCGCCGCCGCACAGCAGCGCGCGGCGGGCGGCGCAGGCAGGCCAGCAGCACAGCAGCAGCATGCGCGGCGCAACATGTGACAGCCTGCACAGCCCGCGCCGGCGTGCGCCCTTTGCCGCCGTCGCGCTCTCCCACGCCTGCCATCCAGGGGGCCGACTTCCCTCGACTGCGACGCTCAGCAGCAGCGAAGTGAGTCGGCTGCGCATCAGAACAGCGAGCAGAGTGGCGCCAGATTTAGTGCAGCGCATGCTGGAGGGCGCGAGACAGCGACAAGGATACCCGACGGGCCGGCTGTGACACACACGCGTTCACACGTTGTGTCTAATGCCTCGGCATTCCTATTGTGAGGCCGCCGACAGCATCGACAGGTCGCCCTCGCCAAAGAGCTGCGTGAGGTAGGCTGCGACGTGGCTCAATGTCAGCCGGGCAGAGTGGTGCACGCACGCCGCGCCACGCACCCTCGTAGTCGTACGCCTCGGCCTCGAGGCCGTCGACGTCGACGCGCGGCATCGAGGCCTTGAGGTAGTCGATGGCGCCCTGCGGCAGCAGCGCCTGCCGCAGGTCGATCTCCGTCGTGTAGGGCTGGGCAAGGGCATGAGTGGAGTGGCATGCGGGGCCACACTCTGCGGCGCACCTTGTCCGACGCCAGGCCCTGGAACGCCTCGAGCAGCTGGTCGGGCGACGTCGTGTCCTCGGTGATCTCGCGCTGGGTGGGTGTCAGGACTGCAAGTAGGCATACACGGCACACAACTCACCAGAAAGGTGAGGAACGCCGACTGCGAGGCAGCAACAGGTCAGCGCAGCACATCGCACCACACACGCGACGCACGTAGTTGACGGCGCCAAAGTTCTCCTCGAGCTGCAGATGGATCGCCTCGATGTCCTCGTCGGAATAGATGATGCCGAGCGACGCCAGCGCAGCGCCGAGCTCGGGCACGGTGAGCGTGTTCGACGCGTCCTTGTCAAAGTAGCGGAACGTGCTCTCGAACTCCTCGAGCTGCGCGGGCGTGAGGTTCGTGTGTTGCCGCGAGATGATCTGCAGAGTGTGTCAGGCAGGCTCAAATGGCGGGTGCGGCGGACACGTACCTGGTTGTCGATAAAGGCCAGCTTCTTGACGACGCTTGTCACCACGAGCTCGAGCTCGAACTTGAGGTCGTCGCGCGTAAAGACGGTGTGGTCGTTCTCCTCGACGTTGGCCTCGACGCACTCTTGCTCGAGGTGCTGCAGCTCCTCGAGGCGCTTCTCGAGCGCCGCGAGCACGAGCTGCAGCTTCGCCACGCGCTCCTTTTGCTCCTCCAGCTCGCCTGTCAGGCTGGCGAGCGTCGTGGCGGACGTGCGCAGCTCGGCCTCAAAGTCGTTGGCCCGCCGCGCAAACTCAACTCGCAGTGCCTCCTTGGCCCTCCGGATCTCAGCGTTGATGCTGCGTGACCTCCGCGCCTCAGACGCTGCGAGCCGTGCCCACGCTGCATCGAGGTCTGCCTGCGCGAGACCCTCTGCCGGCGCCCATGGCCGCAGGTGGTAGGTGCGCAGCTTCGTCTGGATGTTGCCCAGCAGTGCTGCGAGATCTGTCCGCTCGCGCACCCACACGCGCTTGCCGCCGGCCTTGTAGGCGTGGAAGGCGTCGAGCTGCAGGCGTGCGTCGGCGTAGCTGCCAGCGAAGGATGCCGCTGCCCAGGCCGTCTCCTGTTCTTGCATCGCCGCCAGCAGCTGCAGATAGATCATAAGCGGCAGCTCTGCGGCGCATGCCATGCACTCACCTCGCGCGCCCGCCGCTCGTAGTCGACCTGCATCACCCATGCGCCCTGCATCACGTCGGCAAAGGTCGCCACGCGCCGCGAGACCACCTCGGCCTGCTCCATCGTCGAGAAGGCGTGGAAGTACTGGGCGACGTACGTCATGACACTGCGCTCGTCGGGCTTCTTGGCGTCGCACAGGTCCTCGACGTCGAGCAGCTGCGGAATGCCGAGATGCTCCTGCGCCACGCTGAACGCCAGCGCCGTGCACTCGTGTGGCGACGCCGGCAGCGCGTCGTAGTCGAGCAGGTCCGGCCGGTGCCGGTGGATCAGCGCGCAGAGCGCGCGCCCCGACTTCCAGCTGTGCGTAAAGTCCACCACGGAGACGTCGCTGTACGGCGCCGTCTTGCGCTGGCACCACAGCAGCAGGCCCTCGCGCGCCGAGAGGCCCTCGGCGGAGATGTCGGCGATGGTGAAGCGCAGGATGAGCGTCCAGATGAGGCCGAGGATGAGCTTGAGGTTGCCATCGATGATGTCTGTGGCAGGCGTCAGCGCGGCGAAGTGGACGCCCAGCATCTGGGCTCGGCGCAGCAGCACACAAGAGAAAGGAGCCTGCTCTCTTGCCTGTGCTTCGTCTGATGCCTCCAAGCTCGGCTTGGCTTCGCAGCTGAGCTTCATCCTCCGGCCTTTGCTCGAACGCCCTCCGCGCTTGCGTCTGAGCACCCTTTGCGACGGCACGTGCCACCCGGCAGCGCGATTGCAACGGCGCCAGCGTTCCTCCGTGTGGTTCAGAGAAGAGGCTAAGGCCAAGCTCAAGCTGCACCGACGCGGGGCGCCGCAAGCAAGCATGTCAAGCACCTCACGCTCAGCTTGCGAAAGACCTGCTGCGCTGCCTCGACGGCTGGTGTGTCCTCCTCCTCCACTCGCGCTGCTTGCCAGCCAGCTCCGCGACGATACCGTTAGCTCCGCTTCGTCCCGACAAGCACGTCTTCCGGCGTCGCCGCTGGCGCTGACCGCACGGCCTCGATACAGCCCCATCCTCTGGCACTCCTGGCGCCGCTCCCGCCAACGACCTCCACTGGCGCTGCTCTCACAGCCTCGACCTGCCGACTGCACCTCCACCGCGCTATCTCTCACGTCACGCCCACTCACCCTCGGCGCCCACATTCGTCAGCACCACGCCGCGCGCGCGGATGAAGTCGAGCGCAAGATTGACGTTCTCGGCCATCTGGACGCGCATGCGCGGCGCGCGGTAGTAGCGGCCGAGGCTCGTGTCGCCCATGATCTCCATGAGCTCGACGAGGCGCACGCCGTCGGAGAGGTCGCGTGCGAGCGACGACATGGGCGGCAGGTCGCGCGTCTCGAGCTTGGTGTTGAGCCTGCGGGCAGGTGAGCATGGGCCAGGCGCGGCGCAGCGGAAGCGCCCGGACTGGCGCTCGCCATGCACGCACCACTTGCAGAACGTCTTGGCCTGCAGGAAGCGCATCAGCCGCAGCGCTGCAGCACTCCTCGCCCACCACGCACCTGCACCTCCTCCCAGCCGCGGTCCTGGTCCGGCAGGCCCGTCATGAGCGTCGAGGCGCGCTTGTACGCCATGGCGGCGCGGGCGCGGCGGCGCCTGGTGAGAAGCGTCGGGTGGTGCAGGAGCAGCGGTGCCGAGCGTGCGAGATAAGTGAGATAGGGCAAGCGAGGCGAGAGGGTGGTAGCTCGGAGTGTGGAGAGTGGAGGATGTGGAGCAGAGGCAGGCGGCGGTGAGGCGCACGATGCACGCTTCAGCCCCGCGCCGCCAGATCAACAAACAGACGCCGCGCGGCGGGTGAGACGCCGGCGCGACATCAACACCGCCAGCGACGCGTGTCACGCTTCACTCCGCACCACCACCTCCGCCGCGCGCACCACAGACACATGCGGATATAGCATTACAGATTACAGGGAACATGGCGGGGTGCAGCGACGGGCAATTACAGGGCGCAGCGGTGAGTGACGTGGGGCAGGGAGCGGGGCATGGCAGAAAGGGTGGAGCACGGCAGAGCGAGCACACTCGCCGCGCTGGCGTGGCGCACACACGCTACAGCCGGCCCGAGCCGACAATGGCGCTCTTGCCCATCGCCGGCACGCCGTTGACGACGAGGAACGCCAGCGCGGCGCCCGGCGGGAAGATGCGGTTGGCGCCCGAGGGCATGCCCGCAAACGTCACCGCGTTGCCGTTGACGGTACGCCGCAGCTCGTACGAGCGCTGCTGCATCTGCAGGCCGTGCGTCGACCAGCCGGTGCGGATGAGGCGCACGTACGCGCCCTGCGCCTCGCCCGCCGAGCCAAACGTGACGGTGAACGCGGCGCCGCCGTAGGGGAAGGCAGTGGGCACGGCGGCGTTGCTGGGCCGCGGCGCGTCGTAGTACGACGGGAAGATCTTCTCGAGGCGGAACTCGCTCGGGAACGGCGCCGTCCACGGCTCGATGTTGTCGTGCGGCGAGCTGCCGCCGACGAGCACGGCGCCGTCGGGCAGCAGCGTCGCGCTCGAGTGGTAGCCGCGGTTGGCGAGCTGCGTCGCGAGCGTCGCCCACGTGCGCGCCTGCGGGTTGTACACGTAGGCCGTGTTGGCGGGCCGCGAGGCCATCGAGCCGCCGGGCCCGTCGCAGTTGAAGCCCTGCGTGCCGGCCTGCGCGCCGTTGACGAGTGCGATGTTGTTGTCGGGCAGCAGGATCATCGTGCCCATGAGGCGCGGCGACGGCATGTCCGGCGCCGATGTCCACGCCGCGTTGTTCGCCAGCGGCGTGATCAGGTCGCACTTGGTGTTGGCCGTCACGGCGTACGAGCCGCCAGCGGGGCACCACTGGTTGCCCCAGTCCTTGATGGCGCTGTTGCCGCCGCACAGCATCGACGTCTCGGCGTAGTTGTTCGCCGGCGTCAGCGGCAGCAGCACGGCCGAGCCGCCCGACGGGTACGTGCGCGGGCCGTTGGGCATGTTCGGCAGCGTCTGCTCCTGCTGGTTCGTCGGGTTCCAGATGACGGCGGAGCTGCCGGCAAGGATGAAGATGCGCCCGTCGGAGAGGTAGTGCGTGAGCGGGTAGAGCGAAAAGGGCCAGGCGCGGTTGAGCACGGGCACGTTGAGCAGGCCGCCCTTGCTGGGGAAGTACTCGGCGGTGGGCGTGTTGCCGCTCTGCGGGTACGGCAGGAACACCTGCGCGTTGTAGCCGCCGAGCCAGATCATCGAGCCGTCGCCCGTCGTCTCGGCGGCCGGGTACCAGCGCGCGACGCCGAGGTTGCCGTTGCCCTCGCTCCACTGGCACGTGCCGTTGGTGTTGCACGGCGTCAGCGAGCGGATGGCGCGCAGGCCGTCGCCCTGGCCCTGGCCGTTTTGCGCCGGGTTGCCGCCGCCGCTGACCCAGCGCCCGTCGCCGAGCGGGCCGCCGGCGGCGCAGAACTGGTTCGTCTGGGTGTACATCGGCCGGCAGAGGCCGGTGGACAGAGAGAACGACGCGGCGGTGGCGGAGTTGGCGCGGTCGGCCGTCGGCAGCGGGTTCGCCTCGGTCTTGTCGACGATGTACACCGTGTCGGCGTCGCCGAGGAACATGTGCTGCGCCGTCACGCCACACGAGCCAATGATGGCCGCCGTGTTGGCCTTGCCGCCCGCGACGCGCGCGCCCATCTGGTCCGAGCGGATGATGGTCTGGAACTGCGCATTGACGATCTGCGCCAGGCCCTCGACGCCGGCCTTGTTGTGGCAGACGTTGTTCACCGAGTCCCACACGGCACGCACGCAGCCCTGCTGCCCGGCGCAGACGTCGGCGCACGCCGCGGCGCTGGCGACGTTGTTCGTCACCGAGTTCGTCGGGCCGGCAAAGTCGGAGAGCGGGCAGATGGTGAACGCGGCGCCGTTGGCCGTGTACGACGTGGCGCCCCACGGGCAGGCGTACGACGGGAACTGCATGCCGACCGTCGGCGTGTAGGCGAGCTTGACGGCGTCGTAGCCGCTGTCGGCAACCCAGTTGGGCTGCGCGGGATTGCCCTTGATGTGGCACGCGCGGCTCGTGCGGTCCCACACGGCGTACGCGCAGCCGTTGGTCTTGGAGCAGAGCGCCGCGCAGGCCGTGTTGCTCGCCGTCGTCGGCCACTGCTGGCTGCCGACATTGTACTGGCTGCCGGGGCAGATCTCCCAGCCGCGGCCGTCGGCGGCGGCGAAGACGGGCTGCGACGGGCACGTCGAGACGGGCGAGAGCTGCGCCGGCGCGGTGGCCGTCACGGTGAAGACGTCGTACTGCTTGCTGACCTTCCACGCGTAGGCGCCGGCGGCGGGGTCGCCCTTGAGGTGGCACTCGCCGTACTGGTGGTCGAAGACGCCCTTGGCGCAGCCGGCCGTGGTGCTGCACATGTCGGCGCACGCCTCGATCGACTTGACGCCCTTGGTGATGCTCTGGCTCGCCATCTGGTAGTCGGAGAGCGGGCAGACGGCGTACGTGGCGCCGCCGCTGGCCTTGTACGAGTACTGGCCGAAGGGGCACGCGCCGTTGATCGCCGCCTGGTCCTGCGGCGTGTAGGCCTGCTTGATGGTGAGGTACTGTTTGGCGTCGGCGATGTAGTTGGTCGTGCCCGGGTTGCCCTTGATGTGGCAGGCCTTGGTCTGCTGGTCCCACACGGCCGTCGTGCATCCGTTTGCGGCGGCGCACGCCTGCGCACACGCCACGGCCGTGTCCGTCGGGTTCCACGAGAGGGAGCGCACGTTGAAGTCGGTGTTGGGGCAGAGCTGCCAGCCGAGGTTGTTGGCAATCGCCGTCGCGGGCGTCGTCGGGCACGTCGGCACGTTGGCCTGGCGCTTGCGCACCATGCCGCCGCGCGCGCTGAGCTTGCCGGCCTCCGCCGTGGCGACGGCGGCGGCGAGGAGAAGGACGACGGCACGCATGGTCCAGTTGAGAGGGGTGACGACTTGCAGGTGGTAAGGATTCGCAGCGCCTCTTATGTGCTGCGGCTGCTCTGCCCAGCTTTCAGCCCCTCGCCGCCTCGTCGTCACGCCGGCGCCGCTTGCTCGCCCTCGCCGCCGGAGCTGAGCCTTTTTCGTTCTCGTCCCGCTGCTCGTTGCCCTGCATCGTGCTCGCCGAGCGGAGTTTGCCGATGTGCTGCAGGCAAGAGGGAGCTATCCGAAGCGCTGGGCGAGATGCATGGGCCAGTCGGGCCGGCGCGGCACCGAGGAGGAGCGAACGAGCGGTACGTCCCCAGCACGCAGGCGAGCCAAGGCAGGGCCGGCGCCGACCTGTGTCTCACACAGCGCTGCAGTAGACAAGCATCGGAGGCAGGCCAGCGGAGGCTCGCCCACTGCGGAGCGCCGAGTCAACAGACGGACATGCGCGGTGCTGCAGCGGGCTGCGTCGGTGCGGCAACAAGCAGATCGAGGCCATGTGTGTGCGCACCGCCGGCAACAAGCAAATCGAGGCCATGTGGTGCCGCCGCTGGTCACACCGCTGTGGTGCGCCCAGGCACCGGCGCCGCATGACGCGCGGGCGCAGCGTCTGAGACCCTCGTGCTCGCCCGCGACGCAGCGCGCAGATCTCGCAGGTCGCAGCACATGGGCGGCAGCCGCACGCCCGCCTCGTGTCCTGCAGGCGGCAGGGGAAAATTCTGCCCCTTCCCGCAGCGCAAGTCTCACCCGCGAGGAAAGGCACCGCGCTGCGCCCGACGGCACCGACGTCGGGTGACAGGCCGGCGGGGCAACTTTAGACTTTTAGGCGCGGGTGCGGGCTGCTGCGCCGGCCGTGGCCTCGCCTCGCTCTGCCTGCCGCTGCGAGCCACACCGCTGGCGCCGGGAATCACCCGGCGGCGCCGCCCAGGCGCCCGGCCGTGCGGCGCCGGAACGCTCTGGTGCCGCACGGCTGTGGCTGCGCATCGAGCGATCGTGCGGCATCCGCCTGCGCCCTGCGTTCTCTGGGCGACGGTGCAGCTCGTGCGATGCAGGGCCGCAGCGTGCCTGGCCCGACGGTGTGGCGGCCGCAGAATAGGCCGCGCGAGACATCGTGCGCGTCCCGCTCCCGCCGCCGACGTCGCGGTCGGAGGCAGCAGCCCTCGCCCAGCAGCACCCCACCTCTCCGCCTCGCTCTCGATCGCACGGCTCGTCGCGCCGGCGACCTCGGCGGCTGCCGAATGCGTGACAGCGCCGGAGCGAGCGAGAGCAGCAGGTCTCGCCCCCTGGGCAATCCGGCGCTGCACTGCCGAGCCTCGGCGACTTGGCGCGCCGGATGGAGCGAGCGTGTGGTAGAAGGGGGGAGTAGGAGACTCACGTTGCGTGTGCGGCTACGAGTACTGCAGTGGATAGACAGGCGGTGCTCGAGAGCGCGAGATGCGTCGGGGTGTTCGGAGGGCTGAGGTGCGCCGAGGGCGTCGTCGAGCTAGAATCTAACAGCGCGAAAAGCTCCGTCAACGCCCACACTGAACCCTGAGCGGCGCAGTAGGGCCGAAGGAAGAGGAGAGTAGGTAGAGCGGACGAGATGCGGCGATGAAGCGCAGCGCGAGGCGAGTCGCAGCTGCGCCTGCGTGGTTGTCGTCTGCTACGCCTCTGTCCGGCCAGGCGAGTCGAGTTGCTCGAGGCGACCAGACCGACGGCGCCGCAGCTGCAGCTCTCGATGCGCAGAGGGCAGCTTCGCATCTCTCAAGCTCGGCACAGCAGCGCAGCGTCTCAGCTCGTCGCACGGTGGCTTGCGCCGGTGCGGCAGCGGAGGCTGCGGCGGCGCCCTGCTGGTGCTCGTGCTGCTGCATTCTGGGGGCGCCGTCGGCGGCGCCGTCGGCGGCGCTCAGCAGGGGCAACACCAATGACTGAGGCGGCTCGTCATGCGACAACGTCGCATCAGCTTCCAAAGCTGCGAACGCTCTTGCGGTCTGATTGCTTTGCGACTGGATCGACGCCGCTCGATGGCCGCAGCGCCGTCGGCGAGGGCACAGGCGGTGTGGGAGCATCTGCTGCGCCGCGTCATGGGCCGCGCCGCGCCGAGATCTTGCCCGCTCTGACCCGCCGACTGACCAGCCGCTCCCCTTTGCGCGGCGCCTCGACTGCAGCTCGCCACTGCCTCGCTGGCCGGTGACTCTCACCTTTACTCCTCAGAGCGTGGGCCCAGCTGACCGCGCGCGTGGAGCCGCGTCAGGAGGCTTCTCGCTGCGCCGCAGGCGGTACAGCGGCGCCCGCTGGCGCACGGCTTATGTCAGCCCATCCGGCGCGCCGCGCGGCAGCAGGACGCGTCCACGTCGCTCGGAATGCCGGCCAGAGCTGCAGAGGCTGGAGACATGAAGAGGGCGAAATGGGAGGCAAAACGAGAGGCAAAAAACTTGCGCTGAGAGGGACTCGAACCCCCGTCCGTTGCTGGACCAGGTAATGGAAGGCAACTATACTGGCGCCTATACTATCAGCGCAGAATCCCTGTTTTGTCAGCTCAGAGGGCTATGAACCAATGCTGCAGGTGGTGAGATCAGCCTGCAGCAGCTTGTTGTC